TGACAATGAAAAGGCAGAGGCACTCAATTCCTACTTCGCCTCAGTCCTTTCCCACCAGAAAATCTATAACCAAGAGGAAGTACAAGCTGAAAGGGAGAGATGGCAGCCCAAGATTGACAGACAAATGGTCAAGGAATACCTACATGGAATGAACATGCTCAAATCCGCAGGCCCAATAAACTCCATCCCAGAGTCATAAGAGCTTGTGGGGGAACTCTCAGAACCACTGGCTATTTTCTTTGAGAAATCTTGGAAAACAGGAGATGAGCCAGACAACTGGAGAAGGGCTAGGGTCGCTCCTATCCTCAAAAAAAGAAAAAAAGGTGAATCTGGGGACAATAGACAGTCTGACATCAATCCCTGGAAAAATTCTGGATCAAATGATTTAAAAAATCCATCTGCAAGCATCTTGAAGAAAGTGCAGTGATTAATAGAAGCCAACATGGATTTATCAAAAATAAATCCTGTCAGACTAATTTAATTTCATTTTTTGACTGGCTACACCCCATATGGACAAAAGGAACACTGTGGAAATAATCTACCCAGATTTTAGCAAAGTTTCAACATAGTGCCCCACAACATTCTATTAAGCAAAGTATTTGAGTTACATCTTCTGGATCTGGCCTTCTAACGAGCAGGGTTGATCTCCTCTAACACTGACTGGTTTGATCTCCTTGCAGTCCAAGGGACTCGCAGGAGTCTTCTCCAGCACCACAATTCAAAGGCCTCAATTCTTCAGCGCGCAGCCCTCCTTATGGTCCAACTTTCACAGCCATACATTGCAACTGGGAAAACCATAGCCTTGACTATACGGACTTTTATTGGCAGGGTGATGTCTCTGCTTTTTAGTATGCTGTGTAGATTTGCCATAGCTTTCTTCCCAAGGAGCAAGCGTCTTTTAATTTCTTATCTGCAGTCACTGTCTGCGGTGATCTTGGAGCCAACGAAAATAAAATGTGTCACTACCTCCATTTCTTCCCCATCTATTTGCCAGGAAGTAATAGGACCAGATGCCATGATCTTATTTTTCTTAATGTTGAGTTTCAAGCCAACTTTTGTGCTCTCCTCTTTCACCTGCATCAAGAGGCCCTTTAGTTCCTCTTCACTTACTGCCATTAAAGTGGTATCATCTGCATATCTGACTGTTGATATTTCAACTTGTGATTCATCTAGCCCCACCTTTTGCCTGATATGCCCTGCATATAAGTTAAACAGGCAGGGCGACAGTATGCAGCCTTGCCGAACTCCTTTCTCAATTTTGAACCAATCAGTGGTTCCATGTCCACTTCTCATTGTTGCCTCTTGACCCGCATACAGGTTTATTTTATTTATTTAGATTTTTTTGTATGCCGTCCCATTCGCATGAGCCTTGGGACGGCTTACATACAATAAAGGTTTCTCAAGAGACAAATAAGATGGTCTGGTACTCCCATCGCTTTAAGAACTTGCCACAATTTGTTGTGATCCACACAATCAGAGGCTTTAGCATAGTCAATGAAGCAGAAGTAGATGTTTTCCTGGAACTCCCTAGCTTTCTCCATGATCCAGCATATGTTGGCAATTTGATCCCTAGTTCCTCTGCCTCTTCGAACTCTGTCTGTACTTCTGGTAGTTCTCGGTCCACATACTTCTGGAGCCTATCTTGTATAATTTTGAGCATAACTTTGCTAGCCTGTGAAATGAGTGCAATGGTACAGTAGTTTGAACATTCTTTGGCATTGCCCTTCTTTGGGATTGGAATGTAAACTGACCCTTTCCAATCCTATGGCCACTGTTGAGTTTTCCAAATTTGCTGGCATGTTGAGTGTAGCACTTTTACTGCATCATATTTTAGGATTTTGAATAGCTCAGGTGGAATACTGTCACCTCCGCTAGCTTTGTTGTTGCTCAGACTTCCTAAGGCCCATTTGACTTCACATTCCAGGATGTCTGAGTCGAGGTCAGTGACCACCCCATCCTGGTTATCAGGGACGTTAAGCTCTTTCTTGTATAGTTCTTCTGTGTAATCTTGCCACCTCTTCTTAATCTCTTCTGCCTCTGTTAGGTCCCTGCCATTGTTGTCCTTTATCTTGCCCATCTTTGCATGAAACATTCCCTTCATATCTCCAATTTTCTTGAAGAGATATCTGGTCCTCTCTATTCTATTGCTCTCTTCTATTTCTTTACACTGTTCATTTAAGAAGGCCTTTTTCTCTCTTCTAGCTATTCTCTGAAATTCTGCATTCAATTGGGTGTATCATTCTCTTCCTCCCTTGCCTTTCATGTCTCTTCTTTCCTCAGCTGTTTGTAAAGCTTCTTCAGAAAACCATTTTGCTTTCTTGCATTTCTTCTTCTTTGGGATGGTTTTAGATGCTACCTCTTGTACAATATTGTGAACCTCCGTCCATAGTTCTTCAGGCACTCTTATCAGATCTAATTCCTTAAATCTATTTGTCACCTCCACTGTATATTCATCAGAAATATGATTTAGGTCCTACCTGAGTGGCCTAGTGCCACTTTCTTTAATTTAAGCCTAAAGTTTGCAACAGGAAGCTTATGATCTGAGCCACAGTCAGCTCCTGGCCTTGTTTTTATTGACTGTATAGAGCTTCTCCATCTTTAGCTGTAGAGCATATAGTCAGTATGATTTCTGAAGGTGTTGTGGGCCTTCATAGAACTGGTCAACTTCAGCCTCTTCAGCACCAGTGGTTGGGGCATAGACTTGGACTACTGTGATGTTGAATGGTTTGCCTTGGATTCAAATTGAGATCATTCTGCATTTTGGAGTTTGTATCCCAGTACTGCTTTTCCTACTCTTTTCTTAACTATGAAGGCTACTCCATTTTTTCTGAGGGATACTTGCCCACAGTAGTATACCTGATGGTCATCTGAATTCAATTCACCCATTCTTGTCCATTTTAGTTCATTGATTCCTATGATGTTGATGTTCAGACTTGTCATCTCTTGTTTGACCACGTCCAGCTTGCGTTGATTCATGGATCTTACATCCCAGGTTCCCATGGAGTATAGATCTTTGCAGTATCGGACTCTCCTTTCACCACCAGATACATCCACAACGGAGTGTCTTTTTGGCTTTGACCCAGTCGCTTCATTCTTTCTGGTGCTACTAGTACTAGCCCCCTGCTCTTCCCCAGTAGCATACTGGACATCTTCTAACCTGAGGGGCTTATCTTCCAGCGTCCTATCTTTTTGCATTTTGGTACTGTCCATGGGGTTTTCATGACAAAGATACCTGAGTGGGTTGCCATTTCCTTCTCCAGTGGATCATCTTTTGTCAGAGCTCCCTGGTATGACCTGTCCATATTGGGTGCCCCTGCATGGCATAGCTCATAGTTTCATTGAGCTACACAAGCCCCTTCACCATGACAAGGCAGTGATCCATGAAGGGGTCTCCCTCACTAGAGACATTCAAAAAGAAATTGGACAGACATCTGAGTGGAATGGTGTAAATTTGTGTCCTGCAACAGCAGGAGGTTGGACCTGATGGCCTTCATGGCCCCTTCCAACTCAACTCTTTTATGATTCTGTGAACACACTTGAATTCTTGATTTTAAAGCAAAGAGCAGTTAAGTGGATTTCCCAAAAAAATATGTTGGGAATAAAATCAGCTTTATTAAATGCATAAGAGTGATTAAGTAAGCACCTGTGACAAGTGACTTTAATGAGAAAAGGGGTGCAAGATGGCTAGGGTTTTTTTTAAAGGACCTTTTAAATTCATAATTGGAAACAATTCAAGCAAAACATAGCAGACTACAGAATAAACGACTGTAGGTCCACAAAAGCCTTGTAGTTGTCATAAAAACAAAAAAAGACATGTATTAAAAGTGGAAGGAAGGCAAGTTCACAAAGGAAGAGTATTGAAAGGTGACACAGAAGTTCAGGAATGACATCAGGAAGGATAAAGCTAAGAATGAGCTCAGGAGAAAAAAAAGATACTTTTATTCCAGATATGTTCATAGAAAATGACAGGGGAAAGAAATGTTGGTTCAACTTCTAAGTGACCATAGCAAATTGCTAACAGATGACAAAGAGTGGAATTGCTATATGGCTCAGTCTTGTCAATTGGGGTCCTGCAACAGCAGGGGGTTGGACCACCCATTCAAAGTCCCATTCCCTTCCCTGCAATGCTTATGTGACACCAACTCCATAAAACACTCTGCATATGCTTTGTTCCTTTGTAGTTAGTCTTAAACTGGCTACCTTTCAGTGCTGTTGTATTAGAAATACCTGCTTGCTGTTAATATAGTGTTGAACACTTGACTATATGCTTCCTTTGGATCCAGACATTCATTCTTTGCAGGTTTGATATTCTGACATGATTACAGATGTGAAAAAGAGGAATAAAAAGTTTAAAAAATTGAGAACTGAGTGCACCAGAAAGAGGTGGCCTGAACATTTCCCATCATAGCAAGGCAATCTTCCAGATTTTAAGTACTCATCTCAGCTTTCTCTACTTTTGAGACATTTTCCAAATCTCCAGCTAGTCCAGAAGAGCAGAATTTATGAGTCATTCTCTTTCTGCAGTTCCTTTTCAGGACTGTTATTTTGGTTTGATAGCTATCAGAAAACAAACAAAAACCAACCAAACAAAAACCCAGAGATTCATCCCAGTGATGAATGGGACAGAGTGATTCGATCCATTCTGTTCTGCAACCTTTTCAGCATTTGTCTACATAGGCTGGTGTGCAAAGCAAGCTTGGGCTACATACAGTGGACTGGGTTCAGATAATCCTACTCGTAGGCTATTGCATCTTTACAAGCCAGTAGCAGCAGCAGCTTCCCAGGCAGAGAGGATGGGGATGTGAAAGTAGGAGGCTTTGCAAAAACCAGTTGCTTTCTCTTTCGAGTGCATGAGGGCAAGGGAAAGTTTCAGGAGCTGTGTGTGGTCCTTTAGTTTTGTGTTGAGAAGGGTAGCATGCAGGATTCCTCAGAGCCCTAGGGAACTGTAGTAGAGACATGAGGTTTGTGCAGATGAGGTTTGGGTGGATGGGATGTAAACTGTGGAGTGTGATGCGTGAAAGTCAACGTGGGGTGAGGTAGTGAAATGATTGTGGGCAAGAGTAAAATTTGGAGAGGCACCAGTTCCAACGCAGGTACAGGCAGCAAAATAGCTTGGGCCAGTCCCGGGAAGAGCAATCAGCTCTGGACTAGAATTACCAATTATCCGAGCATAAAGAATCTACAAAGCAGATTAACTGAATAAGTAAAGACTAGCAGGCGCATTTTAAAACATGTGTTCACAATACAGAGACATAGTAAATAGAGTTAAAAGGTCGGAACACGCGCGCGAACGTTGAGGTGTATTACAACCTTGTAAGTACACTGGCGGGCAGCTCCTTTTCTACACCTCTCCGTTGTGCCTGCTTAACTTGACAGGGGAGAGTAAAAATGCCTGTAAAGAGGAGTCTACACTACATTTGTTTCTCACTATTTCACGGCGTTGGCGTAATTTTACCTGACAGCAGGGACGGAAGCTTCGTTCGGCTTCAATTTGCCGTTATGGCGTTTGCGTAGAGGGCGCTCGTACCAGCTCGGCAAAGTCACGGGAAATAGAGCTACTCTTCGCCGACGCTTTGAGGAAGTACTGCAATTGGATTGTGCCGTCCGTGACGTGAGCCTTTTCCTTGACCAGAGAGAAGGCGCTCTCTATGGCGTTGGACCTTATGCAAGTCCCCGGCCTGAGGCCTGTGCAGAAGGGTAAGAAGGCTGTCGTCGTTTGGGATAAGGAAATGTGGGGGAAGATGTGGTTTTTAAGTCCGAAGCGAAAGTCGAAGCGATAATTATTGTCGGAATTACTTTAAAGGTCTGTGTTTGTTGAAAACCGTCCTGTGAACTCCCGCCATTGGGCGGTATAACAAATAAAATACGTCTGGCGGATTGGGTTTTCGGCCAGATGTTAAGATCATAAATCAGTCCTAGCTTATCAGCTTAAAAAAACCCCTACAACTGAGGCCAAGCTAGGTAGCTCACAATCAGCAACTGCCCGTGGAATCAGGTACTTCGTGGTTCAGGGCATTTGAACATGGCATTCCCACATAGCCAAGGCGAATGCAAGGGCTTTAAAATGTCGGGAGGAACCTTAGGCTAGAGAGTTAAAATCTGTTGCCACGGGAGGTACAGACTACTTTCTGATCCTCATCCCATTCTGTTCAAAGCATGATAAGGTCTCATAACAGAGCGAGTGCCCTGATTCCTGTCTAATTAACTATATTATTTATTGCTTTTTCACTCTGATGTTTGGCTGCTGAATTCACCAATATTATTTAGAAAACAAACTAGCAGACCTACTAATAGATCACCACAGGATTAAAATGGCTCCCAGTGTGGGCCTTCAACAAATGCTTTCCACAAAACATTTTAGTATGCCTTGTAAAGGCAACAAGAGAAACTGCATGATAGAGCTCAGTGGGTAGGGAGTTCCTCAGGAAGGATGCTACTTCCACAAGGATTTAAGCATGTGGGAAAATTCATGTAGGAAAAGGCCTTCCTATATGTCCTGCATCTTTATGCCCCATCATGATATGTGTGTTTGGCCAATGTGTGAAGGGATTTTAGATGCAGCTAGGGATCAGTGGCAGGGGGTAGGCCTAACTTACATACCTCTGCAAGCCTTTTAATGTTACAAGACCTGAGCAGGAGGATTGTTTACCTTCCCCTACTATTAATTCAGAGTCAACAAATATTTTTTTAAAATACACCATCATGTCAGCTGAATTCCCTCAGGGTTGGGGTTAAAATAAATTTAAGATGGAGTGTTCAATAGCTTTGACATAGCAACAGATAATGCAGGCCTTTCTGGTTGCTTAAAAACATTTTTAAGGATATTAGTAGTGGTAGAGATGCATGCCATCCTTGTGTAATGGAATCTGTATCCCTGTCATGGATTGATAGTTTTGCTTGTTACTTGGGAGTGGATTGTGAAGAGGTATGGACACAATCCAGTAATTGAGCATTGGGGAATGAGATAGTACCTTCACAGTAACTTTGAAAAGGGTACATAAAATAGTGGAGCATTGCTGTAAGACATTTGCTTTGCTAATGTCTGCTGAAATGTGTGTATAGGGGGGGTGAGGCATAGTTCAATGGTAGAGAACATATTTTGCATGCAGAAGGTTCCAGAATCAGTCCCTCATATTTCCAGATAGGACTGGGGAAGAGTCTGGCCTGAAACCCTGGAGAGCCATGGTCAATTAAGATAGCTACTGCTGAGTTAAGTGGGTGACTGGTCTGATTTGATAGTAGAGTTGGAAGGGGTCCAACCCCCCTGCTACTGCAGGCCACTAAGTTACACCATCCTATTTGGATGACTGTCCAGATGCTTTTTGAATGTCTCCAGCAAGGGAGAACCCACAACTTCCCCAGGTAATAGGTTCCATTCTCATAATGGAAGGAAATTCTTCCTGGACTCTCATGTAAATTTCGTTTGATTTAACTTAAGCCTGTTATTCTGTGTCCTGCACTCTGGAATGAAGGGAAAGAGATCTCGTGCTTTGTGACAGCTTTTCAGGTACTTGTAGAGTGCTATCATATCACCCTTCAGTCTTCTCTTCTTGAGGCTGAACATACCCAGTTCTCTCAATCATTCCTCATAGGGTTTGACTCCAATCCCTGTATCATCCTGGTTGCCCTCCTCTGTACCCTTTCTGGTTTTTCTGCATTTAAAAAAAAAAAAAACATAGGTTCCCAGAATTGGACACAATATTCCAGATGAGGTGTGACTAGTGCTGAGCATAGTGGAACTAGTACTTCACATGTTTTGGAAGTGATGTTTGTGTTAATGCAGCCCAAAATACTGTTTCCCCTTTTTTGCAGTTGCATCACATTGTTGGCTCATATTTAGCTTGTAATCTACAACAACCCCAAGACCTTTCTCATTTGCAGTATTGTTGAGTAGCTTAGTCCCCATCTTGTAGAGGTGCATTTGGTTTCTTGTTCCTAAGAGGAGGATTTGGCATTTGTCTCTATTGAATTTCATTGTGGTGGTCTCTTTCCAGAGTTGTAGCCTATGGAGATCACCTTGTATCTTATCTCTATCTTCCAGGTTATTTGTTATTCCACCCAGCTTTGTGTCATCTGCATTATCTTTCCTTGTACTTCCTCATCTAAATCATTAATATAAATGTTGTAGAGTACCAGTCCCAGAACAGAACCCTGCAGCGCCTCACTTGTCACCTCTCCCCAGTTTGAGAATGTGCCGTTAATCAGCACCCTTGGAATCCACTTTTGCAGCCAGTTGTGGATCCACCTAAAGTTTGCTCTGTCTAGCCCACTTTTTGCTAGTCGGGTAATCGGGATGTTGTGGAGCACTTTGTTGAAGGATTTGCTAAAGCTTAGAGTAAAGTTTATCTCCGCAGCATTCCCACAATCTATTTTGACCCAGTCAAAAAATGGAATAAGTCCTGTGAGATTTGTTCTTGAGAAACCCATGTTGGCTTCTGGTAATTACTGCATTGTCTTCAAGGTGTTTGAAGACTGTTTTATAATTTGCTCTATTTTTTCCCCAGAGATTGATGTCAGGGTATAGCTTTCAGGGTCATCTTTTTTTCTCCTTTCTTGTAGATATGGACAACATTAGTTATTCTCTAGTCATTTAGCACTTATTCTGTCTAAGGCAACTTCATATGTTCAGAGGTCTAGCCTTCTCCAGCTTGTTGTTGTTGTTAGTCGCAAAGTCGTGTCCGACCCATCGCGACCCCATGGACAACATTCCTCCAGGCCTTCCTGTCCTCCACCATCCCCTGGAGTCCACTCAAACTCACACCAACTGCTTCAGTGACTCCATGTAGCAACCTCATCCTTTGCTGTCCCCTTCTTCTTTTGCCATCTATTGTTTCTAGCATTAGGCTCTTCTCCAGGGAGTCCTTCCTTCTGATTAGGCGACCAAAGTATTTGAGTTTCATCTTCAGGATCTGGCCTTCTAAAGAGCACTCAGGGTTGATCTCCTCTAGGACTGACCGGTTTGATCGCCTTGCAGTCCAAGGGACTCGCAGGAGTCTCCTCCAGCACCACAATTCAAAGGCCTCAATCCTTTTGCACTCAGCCTTCCTTATGGTCCAGCTTTCACAGCCATACATTGCAACTGGGAAAACCATAGCCTTGACTATACACACTTTTGTTGGCACTTTTTGTCTCTGCTTTTTAGTATGCTGTCTAGATTTGCCATAGCTTTCCTCCCAAGGAGCAAGCTTCTTTTAATTTCTTGGCTGCAGTCACCGTCTGCGGTGATCTTGGCGCCCAGGAAAATAAAATCTGTCACTGCCTCCATTTCTTTTCCATCTATTTGCCAGGAAGTGATAGGACCAGATGTCATGATCTTAGTTTTCTTGATATAGAGTTTCAAGCCAACTTCTGTGCTCTCCTCCTTCACCCGCATCAAGAGGCTCTTTAGTTCCTCTTCACTTTCTGCCATGAGAGTGGTATCATCTGCATATCTGAGGTTGTTGATATTTCTCCCAGCAATCTTAATTCCAACTGGTGATTCATCCAGCCCTGCCTTTCTCATGATGTGCTCTGCATATAAGTTAAACAGGCAGTGCGACAGCCTTGCCGAACTCCTTTCTCAATTTTGAACCAATTAGTGGTTCCGTGTCCAGTTCTCACTGTTGCTTCTTGACCCGCATATAGGTTTCTCAAGAGACAAATAAGATGGTCAGGTACTCCCATCTCTTTAAGAACTTGCCACAATTTGTTGTGATCCACACAATCAAAGGCATTAGCATAGTCAATGAAGCAGAAGAAGATGTTTTTCTGGAACTCCCTAGCTTTCTCCATGATCCAGCATATGTTGGGAATTTGATCTCTAGTTCCTCTCCCTCTTTGAAATCCTGCCTGTACTTCTGGTAGTTCTCGGTTCACATACTTCTGGAGCCTAGCTTGTAGGATTTTGAGCATAACTTTGCTAGCATGTGAAATGAGTGCAATGGTGCGGTAGTTTGAACATTCTTTGGCATTGCCCTTCTTTGGGATTTTAATGTAAACTGACCTTTTCCAATCCTGTGGCCACTGTTGAGTTTTCCAAATTTGCTGGCATGTTGAGTGTAGCACTTTTACTGCATCGTTTTTTAGGATTTTGAATAGCTCAGCTGGAATACTGTCACCTCCACTAGCTTTGTTGTTGCTCAGACTTCCTAAGACTCATTTGACTTCACATTCTCCAGCTGATGTCCCCCAAATGTATTAGACTGCATCATCCAAAACATCCTATCATCTCCAGTCATCATGAGTACCTGTGCAATCTGGGGATATTGAGTCCAGCTCATCTGGAAGGCACTAAGTTGAGGAAGCCTGTTCTAAATTAGTACTCCAACACAGCAGGGAACCAGCAAGATGGTATTGTATAAATGTGTCTTGGTGTTACCTCCCGGTTTGGAACTGGATTTACTGTTGAGCAAGGACCCAAGATTTGGATTGGAGCCCCAGCTGTACAAGTTTTGAAACCCCTTTGTTCCTTAATGCAAATACTCCAACTTTGGCAGACCACATTCCTGAACATGTGTAGTGTAGTCCTAATCTCCTTAGAAGATCAAGGATTCCAAAAAACAATATGTAAAGCATAATCCTATGCATGTTTAGAATGAAAGAACTTCTAAAAGTTCCAGCAGTGCTGGGTATTTTAGGACTTTTTCCCTTCTAAAATGATGTACGATCATACACTCAGAGAAGGATATAAATGAATGGTCAAGCTAGTACTAAAGGATAATACCAACAACTCCACTGTCTTATTTTGGCCAGTTGTGAGATCCTTAATCTAAGAAAAAGGAGTACAAGAGTAAATTGTGCTTTTACATGAAAAAGATATTGAATGGATTTTATTGGGCTTGAAGAAAGGGTTAACAGGTGGCCTCAGGTGTTCATGCTTAGATATATCAAGGAAGCAATTTAGTGAGTTGGCATACTAAGGTGTAGCTGCTACTCCTAAGTAGCTAGTGAATCAAAAGTGCTCTGTTTACATCCCCATATTCTCTTTTGGGGTTTGATTGGCTATTATACTCGTATAACAGAGTTGATCAAAGAATGCCAAAATATTTGAAATAATTATTTACTAAAACTACAACAGATAGAGACTTGTGCTAGCTACACCCCCCAAAAAGGTTAAATGACTCTTCACAGTTTTTCTGGATAAAAATGTTATCAGAACATACATATGTCAATGAAAAAAAAATAGACTTATTTGAATGTAGTACTCAACTAGTGCTCACAAGAACAAGCTGCAGTGAAGCTTGGGTTCCCCCTTCTTCCTCCAACATGGTTGCAAGGAGCCGCTTGGAAGATTTTCCTGCTGTTTTAGATTAACTGCAGTTTGTCTTGTTGTCCAAATCCAACAGACTATGTTAGTTAAGGTTAGTGGAAACAAGTTAACTTGAAACTCTGTTTTACAAATCTCCCTTGTTTCTCCTAGTTAAGATTAGCTATACTTCAGCCCATTATCTAAACCCTAAAATATGAGTTCAGATTACAAGTTAACTGTAGTTAATGTATGGGTTCACATAGCACAAGAATCCATGATGAAATCCAACTGTTGTAGGTGTGTTTTGTCATCCAGACCCAGTAATAGAGTTCCTCTGTAGTAGGATTAGTTTTCTGAAACCATATCAATGGTCTTTTCAAAGGTTTTCACATTTCACTGTGGCTTTCCAGTTCTCCAGACCCAGGAATTCCATTTTACCATTGTTGGTATGGTAGTGGTCACTTCTAGCCTTTGATCACTACTGCTGTCTCAGCCCCCTAGCAACTGATGCTTCATTACTTGTTTTATTCCCATTGGCCAAACAATGTGTACATCTCCCTGTGTACTTTGGAAACAGGGCAGCTGTGCAAAAATATGTGGAGGGAGAAGGGGGGGAACCATGGCAAAACTGTTATTTCCATTTAATAAAAATCCTGTTGGGGCTGGAATTGCTGGAAAGTACCACAGATATGCAGGTACGCTAGGGAAGTGATGGGATGGGAAGGGAAGGAGGGAACCCACCTCAGGACCACAATGGATGAGTCAGGAGGAGGCTGCTGCTATCCACATGCATGAATAGGGAAAGGATGGGGATGCTGCTTTTAGTGGCTACCAGGATGCATAGCAAGGCTGGGAGGATGGAAACCGTTATCTGGGTAACTGTGTGATCATCTGACTGCTAAATTCAGGCAAAAATCTGCATGCTATGGAAATCTAGCCATTCTGAAACTAAGGTAGAAGCTTCCAGTCTTATCTGGATCTCCCAGGTCAAAGGAAAACAGGGAGAAAGGCAGATATTTCTGCAAAAACAATTCCAAAGAATTTCCATGATACCTTAAAGACTAGCAGAAGAATTGCATGCATATTTCCTCAAAAGTCAGACTCCCAGATACATAGGATTACAGCCTAACACTTTGTGGTAGGAACTTTCAGGTTAAAATCAGATTTCTCTAGAATGTCTTTTTCCTTTATGTGATCAAATATTTTTCTTCTCCCAGCAACTCTAGGGTACCTTCAGTATGGGCATTAAAAAGTGACACTCTGCTTTCTATGCTAGAATCTTAAAGATTCGTTTAAGATTCATTCCTGTCTTAAAGATCCATTCCTGTTTGACCTTTGACTATGATGGTAAGAGTTTTCCCTATTGTCTTTCCAAATTCTTGTTTTTGAAATGCCTCCTCTTAGAGGAGGAGGATATGTTAGCTGATGTGTTGTTTCATTTTCTTTTACAGTTAGCGTTATATCTTGAACTATAGAACTTGTTCAAATGTAATTATCTTTGTCTAACAGATATTGTCCTTACACAAATATGGCTATACATACTTCCTGCTATACATTTTAGATTCACTTACGCTTTAATGTAGCTGCTGTTATCACAGACCACAATGTTGATTGATTCGACTTCATCAATAATACGTTATTTTTAATAATGTATGTATGTCTGTTTGTTTGCATCAAATGGCAACCCATTGTGAGCAACTAGTTTTGATGGATCATTTGTCATCCAAACCTGGACAACTTCCATTTATAGACAACGGGCTACTCTGATAACCCATGGTTTTGACTATTCAGAATTTCACACTTGCAACTTCCTGGCTAGGCTTTTCAGAGTTATGCTCTAGAAAACCAGCATTTTTTTCTTTTTAAGTACAAAAGCAGTTGCTTGCATTTGGTTGTGTGAAAAATGTTTTTTAAAAAGTGGTGAACCAGTGACAGCCCCTGAAGTGTGTTGTTTTGTCTTTGGAGGGGCTGCCTTTGGAGGGGCTGTCAGTAGCTGCCATTTGCAGGCTCAAAAAAAGGGGGGTTAGGGAAAGTGGTGGCAAGAGCTTAGGGTTCATGATCAGAGCAAAGAAAGGAGACCAGGTGACTTCAGCAGCAAAGTTCCCTAGGATACCTCCTAGAGACTAAAGAGAAAGGAGTGACCCCAGTCATCTGTCAGGTACACAATGTATTGCTTGATGAACAAAACACTGTGGCTGTGTTCACATGTAATGGCAGGCCATGCTGGAAACTATGCAGGCAGAGCTTGTCATTATGTGAGGATTCAGCTTGTATGGTGAAGTGTGACACATTTGGTTTCCATGAAACCATAGGGAGAAACAATAGACTATTGTAAGTTTTCCACACTTCACCATGACTTCTCATTATGTGTGACCCCTGTTGCAATGTTTCTGTGTGGTTTCTGCATTTCTCCTGTCAAATTTGATGGTGAGACCAGCTGCAGCAGATGTTGTGGCCTCCATTTTTTGTACTCCATGTTTAGCAACTGCTGAGGCAGCTGCAGCTATGTTCTGATTGACTGTTTTGCATTCCCTGTCTTCTCTGTTAGTGCACAGATTTCCAATGCCCAGCAATGGAGATGGGGTCTCACTGGCAGTGGGACATTGTGCTGCACTGCTGTCACGATCTGAGTTTCTCTCTCCAAGCAATATTAGTCTTATCAGTGTTTCTTTGCTTAATAATCTTTATTGTTACACATAAGTTTGTGAGCATACACAAAGTGGAGTGTTTAATCCTACCTGCTGTTCATTTCCCAAAGCTCTCCTTATGAGCCTGTCTGTGTTGCAACCTGGAGGAGGTGGACTGTGAAAATGGGCAGATCTCTGCTCCTCCCATTGTGCCCCTAATTGGACTTCCCTCTGGTGATGGAAAGATGCCATGTGGTCCACCTACTCAAAGGGTTGGAGTTCCCCATTGGAGGAACTTCCCATGTCAGTGTCCCCTCCCACAGGCTGTGACTGCCCAACATTCCCAGACTTAGGTTGATCTGCCTCCCTGCCTGCCCCTGGGCTAATCTCTCCCACTGCTACCTCTTATTGGATCCCAGGATCCAACCAAAGACTGCACCATTTTTAAAACAGTCTCATCGTCATCATTGGAATTTGAATCATCAGTACAATTGGCATGAGGAGTCTCTGTGAGCATCCCTGAGGTTTGACAGGATATATGCACATGACACCAACCTCCAGCAACTGCAGAACAGGATGGATAAAAATAAATGATTTCTAAACTATATGTAAAAATGGATCTTTTTAAAATTTGTGGATGTTTAAAATTTTAATTGATTTTTTAAAATGAACTACTTTTTGAGGAAAAATATATCTGAAGATAGTTTTCTATTTAAGACACTATAGTGCAAAGGTTATTCATCATGAAAAAAGGATTAGTTTTTAATTATGTAGCATGAGACTGTATATTCATGTAATGTTTAATTTTTTTGGTAAATATATTCCATTAAGTCATTCACAATGTCATGCTCTTCCAGAGTTTTCTGTAAGGTTATTAGGCAGTTTTTCTATCACAGATGCTTGATTTTACAGTTCTCAAAACTGAATTTTTATCTGCAGAGATCCCATGCCTCTTCTTCACAGCAAAAATGTTATAAATTAAACATACAGAGTTGAGAAAAAGACCTTAATCCCATTGTCCTTTTGCAAAACTATGTATACAGACTCAACCACTAACCTCCTAAGTGCTACGTTTTGAAAAATTCAATGAATAGTAGAAGATGGTTGGGAGTGGGTTAGAAGCCAACTGTGAGGAGGGAGGGACAAGGAGTAAAGGTTAAAGCGAAACCCTTTTGAGCAGAACACTCCACGTTTTTGGATTTTTTTGTTCATAGACTGAGGTTTATCATATTATTCTTTTTGTTGTCTTTATCACAGCACTTCTCATGATGTGGTTTCATTCAAGCCATCAGGCTTTGCATTTTTTGTTGCAGTGTTTGCATTTTGCACATGTGCCTGCCTTATCCATAGGTAGAGGAACTTTATTAAAATATTCCCAAACTGGATCTTTTTTATAGCCTGCTGCCGTAAAAAGTAGCTGTTTCTGCTGTCATAGAAAGAATATTATCTTTCTTTGGACTCATTCACTCTATATTGAGAAATCGTTTGGGACCCAATAAAGTAGGAAAGCTTGTTTTTCTTTTCTAGATTATGAACCAACAAGAAGATGAGTGAGCTACAGAGGACAGTACAGTGGTACCTCGGCTCACAAACACCTTAGTTCACGACCAAATCGGATCTCAAAGAGAAATTTCAGAAAAAAATTGCCTCAGGTTGCAAACTCCGCATTGGGTAACAATTGCAATCACACTTGTCTTCCCTGCCTAAGCGCGACTGCAATCACATCCATCTATGGCCACAATTGCAGTTGCGCTTGTGCAGGGGGCACGGGCACAATCACGGTCATGCTGGTGAGGGGGAGAGATGGCTGCGCTTGGTTGCAGGGGAGATGGCTGCAATCTTTGTTGTTCTTTGTCACTGTGCTTCAAATTTTTGTGATCAAAAAAAAAAGTCACAGAATGGATTGACCTTATTTACATTGAACCTTATGGGGAAATTTTACTTGGCTCATGACCAATTTGGGTCATGAGCAAAGTCATGCAACGGATTAAGTTCGTGAGCCAAGGTACCACTGTATTTTCATGTGTGGACCAGGCTGATATTCTATTTCTTTTAAGATACTTTGTTCAAGCACATCAGTTTATCAAACATGGATGTTTAAGTAAATACATGAATACACATGTAATAATCTTGTTTTAGTTAAATAAAACTATTTAAATTGTTATTAAGGTAATGATGGTTTTTCACCTTCCAATAACGTACAGCAGAAAAGTTGTCCAAATATGAATTATTAATCTTTTAAACTGGACATAGTTCACCATGCAATAATGTCATAAGTATCTATCTATGATGTATTTCTAATTGTATAACCAAATCAGTAATTGTTTGATATAACTAAAACTAATCTGAAAAGTTGTTATTCTAAAAATGAAACTTTCATCTGGTTGTAAATATTAAGATTGTACCAGCAAGAATGAGTCTTTATGTGGAAAACCATTATTTAAATCCAGTTATACTGAATTGTGATTTAAATCAATTTGATCTAAAGCAAATCCACCCTTTTGCAGAAACAGCTTTGTTTGGCACTCCTGTCTGGTGGCTGCCCAGTTCAGGAATAGTGCTTTGAAGTGGCACCATGCTTGTGCCCCTGCTGAAGCCAGCACTCGCCTCATTTGTAGGCTGCCCTGCTCATGAGGCTCACACAGGCAGCACGTGGGACTTCACTGACTGGAGGAGTGTCACACGGAGCCCATGTCTTCCGATCTGCCTCCTGCCCCCTCCCCTGCTCCCATCTCATCCCCAACAATCTTCAGCACTCCTCACAAGCCCTGCTTCTGCCTGCCCAACTGTCCTGGTAGCCTGCCAGCAAACGTTCCCATGCAGATGCCAAAATGGACACCCTTGAGGAAATCAGCCCAGCAGGATATGCTCCCTTTGTCCTTGGCATAGGCACCTGCACCAATGTCCTCCATGCATTTGGCTGCACAAGGGGCAGCCCCTGGCAACATTTAATGATTGTAAGCTGTCCTGAGATGCCATGCATAAGTGACAACATATAAAAGTTTTAAAGAAATAAATAAATTTGCAGGTCCTACTCACGCGGGCAAACGTAGACATGTGCAGGGAGGGAGGGGGAAGAGGTGGGTGGATGTGCTTGCGTATTGCCACAACGTGTAGCAGCAGTGCGAAATGCTCCTGCAGTGCTACTCTGGAACAACAGTGGTACTCTAGCAAGTAGGCAGTTGCTTTCCTGAGCAGTCAAAAATAAAAAGCAGGGCAGCCAGCTGTGGCCACATCCAGGGGAGTGTGTGCGGCAATGAGGGAGAGGCAGGTGATGCAGACAGGAGTGGAACACCCTGAGACTGAAGTCCAGCCATAGTGGGGTGAAGAGACTTATGGAGCCATTTGGAGGGAAGATGAAGCATGGAAGCCATGTGTGCATAGAAACTGCAAATATGTAAACCCAGGACACAAGTTGAGATACTATGTTGCATGATTACCTCATGGCATTGTTTAATGTTATGTGTGAACATGCTCACTGTGTTGCTTAGTCACTGAGCAGATTGCCTTGCTATGAGTACTCAACCAATGTATTACTTATGCTTCTATCCTGACCCTACATAGCTAGATGTCTCCTTATTTTCAGTTGAATTTACTCTCAGATAACTATGCTAAAGACTGTAGGCTTAGAATATTAAATAGTTTGTTTTATTGACATTTTATTTGCTGAATAAGTAATAACACTGATTATATGATATAGTACAGGAATCTATAGATATGTATGATCAATTAATTGACCTCTCGGCGGCTTTCGATACCATCGACCATGGTATCCTTCTGGATAGACTTGCGGGATTGGGGGTTGGAGGCACTGCTTTGCAATGGTTCCGCTCCTATCTCGACGGTCGATTCCAGAAGGTAGTGCTGGGGGACCATGTCTCTACGTCATGGCAGCTATGCCATGGGGTACCACAGGGCTCCATTCTATCCCCTCTGCTATTTAACATCTATATGAAACCGCTGGGAGAGGTCATCAGGAGGTGTGGGCTGCGGAATCATCAATACGCTGATGATACCCAGCTTTACCTCTCGTTCTCCACTAATCCAGGTGAGGCAGTGGCTGTGCTGAACCGGTGCTTGGTCGAGGTAAGGGAATGGATGAGGGCCAATAAACTGAAACTCAACCCAGACAAGACGGAGGTCCTGTTGGTTGGCGGATCGGGTTTCGGAGAGGGTGGATTTGATCTGGTCCTGAATGGTGCAACACTCCCTCTTAGAGATAAGGTCCGCAGCTTAGGAGTACTCCTCGACCCGGAGCTTTCTTTGGAAGCTCAGGTGACAGCGGTAGCGAGGAACGCCTTCCTTCAGCTTCGGCTGATCAATCAGCTGCGCCCCTACCTGGAGTACGACTGCCTGGCGACGGTGACACACGCGCTGGTGACTTCCCGCCTAGACTTCTGTAACGCGCTTTACGTGGGGCTTCCCCTGAAGACAGTCCGAACACTTCAATTGGTGCAAAATAGAGCTGCCAGGTTGCTGACGGGGACGGGGCGTTATGCTCACATGACTCCAGTCCTCCATCAGCTTCACTGGCTTCCCATTGAAGCCCGGGCCCAATTCAAGGTGTTGATTATGACCTACAAAGCCCTAAACGGCTTGGGTCCTGGCTACCTGAACGAGCGCTTACGTCCGTATATGCCCGACCACCCTTTGAGATCTGCGGGAGAGTCCCTTCTCCGGGAACCCTCCATGAAAGAAATTAGGAGAGTAAGTACCCGGAGGAGGGCTTTCTCTGCGGTGGCACCCAACCTATGGAATTCACTCCCCAAAGAGGTCCGCCTAGCACCCTCGTTACTGGTTTTTCGGCGCCAGGTAAAGACCTTTTTATTTAAACATCATTTCAATTGTTAAAACATATGATCTGGCCTGGGCAACTTCTTCTTCCTTCTCTTTCTCATCCTATATTTTTATTTTATACTGATAATTTTAATTTTGTATTTGTAAAGCAATGTATTTTTTGTATTTTTATATTTAATGGTAATTTATTATGTACTATTGTATTTCAATGTATTTTATCATGTTGTAAGCCGCCCCGAGGTTTCGGCAAGGGGCGGCATAGAAATGTTATAATAATAATAATAATGTGCTTTCTGAGAAAAAGTATTTTTGTTTTCACAGCAACAAGCTTTAGAACTTGCACTGGATCGTGCTGAGGTAAGTAGAAGCTTGTCTAGATTATATAAACATTGTAAGGTTATGCTACTGACAGGGAAAGGTTCTGTTGCAGCTACCTATATATGTATGTGTGTGAGAGAGAGACTATCTACTGACATATGAAAACTATGGCTAATTCTAAATACATAAACTGTATTGATCCTTACTACTACACTGTGGTTTAAACTTACACAGGTGTTGGGCTTATATGCAGCACCCTCTCCTGACACAGGTATAGGGAGGAGGTTAGACACTTTGCTTCTGTTTCACCTAACTGATGTTATGAGAGTGTAAACTGATTATTTATTTATTCGACTTGTATGCTACTCTATTAGTCATAAGGCTCTCTGGGTGGCTCACACATATTTCAGCAATAATTAAAATGGTACATAATATATTTACATCATACATAATATTTTGAAAAAGTGAAAATAAAAGCAGTAATAAAATAGACAGCATTAAATAATAAACAAGTTAAACTATTTAAAATAATCTTAACATATTTAAGCAAAATTAAATATAAAAGATGTAGTGCAGGCAGCAGCAAGTAGCAACATAAAAACATTAAAACCAATGGCTCACTCACCAAAGTACTGGCAAAAAAGAAAAGTTTTTAATGGGCACCTAAAAAAATGAAGAGATGGTGCTGTCTGGATCTCTGATGGAAGAGAGTTCCATAATTGAGGCGCAACTGCAGAAAAGCCTGTGCTCCTTGCCTTGACTTCATAAGGGGGAGGAATGTGAAGAAGGGTGGTTTTTCACTATTTATGGGTGCTTTAGGAACGTAACCCCCGTGAATTTCGGGGGACTACTGTACATAAAACATTGCAATTACATGACAGTGCAGCAAGCATGAACTGTGAATTGTCTGTAGCAACAAGCATTTCACAGAACTTGTAACTATAACAAATGATACTCGACCAGCCTGTGCATATTTACTCAATGATACTCAAGCAGCCTGTGTATTCCACAGCTGCAAAAATGTGATAAATAAAACTAGATGAAAGTACATTGTCACTGAACCACATATAGATATGATACTTCCCAATTTCTCTTGATGTCAGCACTGGCTAGTCTTACCCATTTTAAGGATGACTTTCTTGACAATCCATGTAAGCTGGTTATGTCCCTGTGTTAAATCTGGTGTTTGACTAACTCTAGATGTAAGGCTATGGAGAAGGTATGTACTTAAGTTTGTTTGGATCATTATGGTTGTTCAGCTTCCAAACCATATATACCTTTAAACCTTTACTAGAGACCCAGTTTGTGCAAACTATGTCCACCTTGTTTCGCTCTCTGAAGGAATCCAGGGTTGTTGTCTTGATAGCTGAACCAGCATCCCAAAATAAGTATAATGTATTGCTCAGTATGAACAAGAGTGTTCTGACTGAAAAAGTTTTAAAGGTTTTTCAAAGACATTTCATAAACATAAGAGCTCTCATTGACCCCCTAATACTGTTTGTAGTGATAATATGTAAACTGAGAAATAAGCCTCTTATTAAAATAGGCAAAATATGTTTTCCCTCCTTTTTCCCCATAAAAAATAGGAATAATAGATTTTGCTCTTAGAATCTCTAAACATTAAATAGCATCTCCCAACATTTGTGTATTTCTGGCACCTGTTGTTGAATATTTATGCTAAGGCTTCGGCAAGGGGCGGCATAGAAATGTTTTAATAAATAAATAAAATGCTAAGAACAGGTTTCAGTTTATACCAAATTACCATTATGCTGCTGAATATAAATTTTTCATATTGTATTGCTTCTTTCCTGAAAGCTTGTAGAGCCATAGAAATAATACCTCCCAAACTATGATTTTGCCAAATATGGAAATGACCTTAAGTGCCTGATGGTATATTTTAATTTACCATTTTTCTGTTACAAAGTTGGAGCTGAAGTACTTGATGCAAGAACTATTGTGTCTATATATTCAAGTACCTTAGGAAAGAACAGATATGAGGTTTTCATTATCTGTTTGGATAATTTTTTCTCTCCTTTCAATTGTTCAGAGTTCAGCTATTTAATTGAATAGAGAATGGGATATAAATCTTCTAAATAATAATTTATCATTAATTTAACTTGATCTCCTTAAGCCACAATAGCAGCCATATTAAGACACAGACATTCAGAATTAGTGAGATTGACCAAATAGCCAGATATCAAATAAAGTAAATGTAGATCATTTAAGGAAAAATGCCATGGTTTGAATTAGACTGCAGTGCTTACCTGGGAGTGCAGTGCATCAAGTATGAGGACTGGGTTGTTGGATTATCCTTTCTATAGAAGGTTGTGATCAAACACTCCATTTAATAATCTGATTAATTTTGTACTAAAATAATCCCAGTGCTTCAAAATACTATACATAAAATAAAAAAATAACATTTTCATTAAAGAAAACTTTACCAGCCACCTTTTTGCTTGCTTTCTCTATCAAGCTCTAGTATATACAAACCATTTTAGCAATGCTGTTCTGACTCTTAAAGCTGCCTTCACATTTATATATGTATATCTGTCTGTCTATGTTTTTCAGTATATCATTGAAAGTGCACGTCAGAGGCCTCCCAAACGAAAATATTTATCTGGTGGAAGGTAAGAATTATTTAGTGCACTTCTTCACCGCTTTAGCTGACAGAACTGTAACTCACTAGTGTGTTTTTTCCAATTTTAGAAAATCAGTATTTCAAAAATTATATGAACTGTATCTAGAAGAATGTGATAAAGAACCTGAAATAAAGGTAAGCAGAATTTGTTTACCACAGTGTATTTTCTGACTAGTGCTCTGTATTATGTCATCATCAGGGGACAGGTGAATCCATCTATTGAGTTTGAAGTATAGAGTAAGATGTAAACATGGTTTGGCTCAAGCATTTAATTATTCAGAATCTTTTAAAAGTCATTCAAGTAGTTACATAATATAAGGCATTTAAAACCATTTCAGCCAATTTGTTTACAGTCTCAACAGTCTTTTGTCAAATAAATCTTCCACCATGGAACAAAGTAATGCCTGATGAATATGTCAGTTCAGAGATAAGGCAAAGAACAGATCTGCTTTGGAAGTAAAATCTAAGAAAGATAATGTGCAAGTCAGGTGATTTGCTTCTGTCTCACAGCTTTTCCTGCAGACATTTACCTTATGGTTTCCATAAGAATGTGGGAAGAGCCATGGTGGATTAGACCAAGGGCCCATTTAGTCCACCTTTCTATTGACATAATGGTTAACATTGGTACAACTCTGCCCTCCTGCCTAATGTCCCGTGAGAACGGCAATACATTGGCATACTAGAGGTACCATATAGCCATTGAAACTAATAGCCATTGATACTCTTCTACATGAATTTGTCCAAATTTCTTTTAAAGTTATTCAGATTTTGTCTCTCATCAGATCTTGTGGACATAGATGACAGTATGTGCTGTGTGAAGTGCTTGCTTTTATCTCCCACTGGTTAGCTTCATAAGATGACCATGGGTTCTGCTATTATGAGAGAGGGGAAAAATATCCACAAAATTGAGGCATCCTTAAGATTTGGAGCAAAAAGTGGAGAACAAATAAAAATTTAATATTTAATAAAAATAGTTTGAAGAACTCTGGAGGTGTGACTCACAGTTGTCACAGTTGGAGCTGGTAGTACATAGCACTGATCACTTCAGTCAGATTGAATGTAAATTATGAAACTGGTATAGTTTGGTGAGAGAATTATGGGAAGTAGTTTATAATTCTATTATTGTCAGTATTATTTACATGAATGTTGCCCATTTTAAAGCAGAAGCTGAGAAGAAATGTGAACTTGTTGGAGAAACTAGTTATGCAAGAGACATTGTCATGCCTGGTTGTGAACCTGTATCCAGGAAATGAAGGATATTCTCTGATGCTCAGAGGAAAGAATGGCTCAGGTGAAGTTAACAGCTACCTGTTAATAGCTATTAACCCCTATCAATTGTGTCTTGATCTAAGCAGAAGATAGGCAGTGTTTGTTGCCTCTGAACATCTTTGGAAATGTAATAAATATTCCTGAGCAAAACTATAAAATGAGCATGCACGGCTGGTCACAAAGAACTAATACTTATTCAGAAGTATTCGTTGGAAATTAAGATGGCCATGACTCTACACTCTCATCCTGTTTTGAAGCTATCTCAGCCGCCATAAGAGCATAACAAATATTTTAGAAAGTATGATGGAAAGAGTAGAGTAGCCCAGTGGGCACAATGGAAAGTGTCTGGGGGAGACATTGGTGCCTGGGAGCACCAGGTTGCCTACCCCTGATCAAAGCCATGCTTTGTGCAGCTTGTTTTTGACATTATCGTTTGTACTATTAGTGTCTTCCACCAACAATAGAATTGTTAGTCTGATTCTAGAAAAAGTTCTATGATATGTTGGCCTTGAATGTATTATTTTGCTTTACTTACTAAAAGAAAGTTTGTGTCTCTCCTTTTCTAGATGATTTGTTCATTTTAGATGTGATTTTTCCAGGCTGAAGGTGGCTTATAACATATTAAAACTGCAGTTATATAAGCAAAGTATTTTTTTAGTCACAACAGGAATATTTATGGCACTAACACTTAGACAGCAAATAAAGTACTGTTGCTGAAAAAGTATTATTCACTTTGAATGCAGATTCAGAAACCATTCGACTTCCCTATGAAGAGGGAGAATTGCTTGAATATTTAGATGCAGAAGAGCTGCCCCCTATTTTAGTTGATCTTCTGGAAAAATCTCAGGTTTGAAAGAGTGTTCTTCTCTTTGTGTTTGTCTCTTTATTTGAGTGGTGGTAGTCATATTAACTATAATTGTCTGTTATGTGTTCAATTACCTCAGCATTCTCTATTTCTCTTAGAAGCCAGTTTGTCATCATGAGGACAGATGTTGACAGACAAAATTGAGTCAGGGAGATCTTAAATATTCCCCTGATATGACTCACTTGAATAGGGTAGTTATTTTCTCAATTTGGGCATCTTACAAAGCATGGTTAAGGAAGTTGAACTCTGATTTGGCATATTGTCTGAATTGAAAGGTTATGGTTTATGAGTATGTACTGTGGTTTGTGTGACTAGCTAACTAGAATAGAAATGGAACTTTGATGAAGGTTTGCAAACTATAGTTTTACTGTTTTTGATATGATGAAAACTATGTGGACAGACTATGGCTACAGCTTTCACTCCACCTCTAGAGTCTGTTACCTTATGGAGATGTACGCTCAGTGATGAGAGGGCAGAGAACAAAAGCAGTTGAGTAGTTCTAAGCCTGCACTCTTATACATGCTTACCTACTAGTTAGCCTTATTGAACACAGTATGAAAAAAAATGCAAAATATTGTGCTCTAAATCATGGTTTGTCTGTCATATGTTTGAAAGCTCAAACCATGGTTTCAATGCTCAACTATGTTTAGCACAAGCCGTACTTTGGCATGTTGTCTGAAATGTGTTTAGTGTCTCGTTGGTAATTTGGAGAGCTTGTGAAGAGTTCATGAAGAAATGATACCACTCCTTAGAAACCAGAATTGGATTCTACAGTATTTGGTGACCATACCTATTCACATTGGCCTTCAGAAATATTCACCATCCTTTGACTTTTACACATTTTGTTTTATTACAACCTGGAAGAGAGATGGATTTAATTAGCATTGTTATCACTTGATGTATAAAAGATACTCAACATTATGTAGGTGTAAAACATTTGTATTATGGCACAAAAGTTAAATAAAACAAACTGGAACTTGGTAGCTTAACTATTTGCCTCCTTTCCTGTGACATGCATAAAAAAACTGTGATGCTATCCTCTGCCTCCAAAAGTTAATGTATATAGTTGAATGGAATGCACCTTTGTGTAATTCAAAGGCCATATGATTTCAGACTAAATACACCTGTTTCTGGAAGGCCCCAAAGCTGGTTGGAAAGGAACTTGTGAAAACAATTCCAGAATAAGGTTAAGCAGAAGCACCAACCAAGGCTGGGTTACAGAAAAAAAATACAAACTGATCTGTTAAGAGCACTGTTAAAGGAGCTCTCTTACAAAATGAAAATAATATAGGTCAACCGTGAGTCTGCCTAGAGAAGTCCATTCACCAAAACTCAATGACCAAGGAAGGAGAGTGTTATTGGTCAAAGAAGCAGTCAAGAGGCTATTGGTAACTTCAGGCAGGTATAGATATCTGCAACTAATGTGGGACTAACCATCTATTGGACAACTGTTACCCGGACACTCTAAAAAGTGGCACTTTATGGAAGAGTGGTGAACACCATCCACACAGTGAAGCATAGAGGAAGTGGCAGTATGATGTTATGGGGATGCGTTTTTTCATCAGGGACTGGGAAAATGGTCAGGAATGAGAGCAAGGTGAATTAAATCTGCAAGGGTAGAGGTTTACTTTCCAGCAGGATAATGACCTTGATTTGAAAACAAGAACCTGAATGTCTTAGAATAGCCCAGTCAAAGCCCAGACTTTAGTCTGAATTAGAATTTGTGACAAGACTTGAAAGTTGCTGTTCAACAACAGTCTCCATCCATCCTGACAGAGCTGAAGCAGTTTCACCAGAAAGAATGGGTGAATGTTTCAGGCTCTAGACATGCAAAGCCGATCCAAGAAGACTCTCAGCTGTAATGGCTGCCAACGGTTCCTTTACCAAGTATTAACTCAGATGGTGAATATAGGTGTCTGTTTTAGTTTACTTCACTTTTGTGCCACAATAAAAAATATTTTGTACCTTCTTAGTGTAGATAATAAAGCAATGAATTTCACTAGGTCATATGACAATGACAAGCATGAATTGAATGTGGAAAAACAAGAACATCAGCTTGGCAACCAAGTGCAGATTGGTCCAAGTGATCATTTTTCCTATAGCAACCTTTGGTTGTGAAAGTTGGACAATGGAGAAGTTAGACAAGAGGGAAATCGACTGATTCGAGCTGTGGTGTTGGTGGAGGCTCTTGCACATTTCATGGACAACAAGGGTGATGAACAAGCAAGTGCTAGAGCATATTAAATCAGACACATCCCTGATCAGCAAGATTACAAAGCTGAGACTCACTTATTTTGGCCACATCATGCAATCATTCTCATTAGAAAAAGATACAATGCTTGGAATACTTAGTGGCAAGAGAAAACCGGGTCGCCAAAGAGTGAGGTGGTTAGACTCCATCAAAGAAGATGCAGACAAGAGCATAGTTCAACTGAAAGAGGTGGCACAGGATCACAAAGTGTGGTGAGATTTGGCCCATTGGATCACTTATAGTTGGACACAACTGAACGGCTGAACAGAAGAGAATATAGATATATATTCTACATTCTTAGATATATCAAATGAGAACAATGCCAGTTACTTCTATTTCATATCTAGATTGTAAGCTCAAGAAAATGTGGAAAAGTCAAAGAGGGATGGGTGGGATGAATAATTCTACAAGTCACAGTACAGAGATGGGAAGTATCCACAGAAATTGAAAGGTTTCTTTTGAACTTAGGTCATAAATGTTTAAGTGTTGGAAAGCTTTTACATACATAGGAAATTTATTATGAGCACATACATATTTTTGCTTGCTTTTATACAGATTAATATTTTCCATTGTGGATGTGTTATAACAGAAATACGTGACTATAGACAGTCTGGAAATTTGAAATCTCCAACGTACCAAAGCAAGCACATTCTTTTGCGCCCAACAATGCAGGTAAACTTTTGTTTTCCAATACTGTCTTGTTTTGCTTCTTTTAAATGCAATATATTTAAGCATTCCTAATTCATCAGGTATAGAAGACTGCCTTGGTAGTCCTTTATGGTGACTTATGTCAAGAGAAAAACTTAAGAAGCATGTCCCTGTTGGTATTTCCTAATCTTTCAGCACTGTTCAGTATCGTTGATCATGATTCTCTTCTGAAGTGACTGTCTTAGTTGGGAAGACAGTTTTACAGTGATTCTACTCTTACCTGGATAGTGATTTCCAGAGGTTGTTGTCTGGGGAATATTATTTAGGTCCATGTATTCTCTAGTTTGGGATTCCACGGGGGTTGAGACTACCCTCCATGTTGTTTAACATCTGCATGACACAGCTGGAGTTTTAAAGTATTAATTTTAACAGCTCATCTTCTCTTTTTCATCTCAGGGAGGTGTGACAGTTGATGTGCTGAATGAGTGTCTGGGCATGGTAACAGACTGGATGAGAGCTAATAAACTAAGCTTCTGTCCAGACAAGGCTGAGGCTTTGCTGGCGGGTCTGGATGGGGAATGTACAATCTCTTCTAAATGGGGTCATATTCCCCCTGAAGGGGCAAGCATGAAGCTTGGGATTATTCCTGTTTTCATCATGGTCATAGGAGGCTCAGGCGGCTTCCATGGCACAGAATGCTTCTATCACCTTCAGTTGGTAGTCCAGTTGCAATTGTAGCTGGATGGGGATTTATTTATTTATTTTTCGATTTATATCCTGCCTTTTTCCTACAAAGGGCTCAAGGCAACCTCCTCCATCTTATCCCCACAACAACCCTGTGAGGTAGGTTGGGCTGAGAGTCTGTGACTGGCCCAAAGTCACCCAGTTGGCTCCATGGCTGAGTGGGAACTAGAACCCAGATCCTCTGAGTCCCAGTCCCATGCTGTTAACCACTACACCACACTGGGATAGCTTAGCATCAGCTATTTGTGCTCTGGTAACCTCTAACTTAGGTTACTGCTACTCACTGTACACTCAGCTGCCTTTGAAGATGGTTCAGAAACTGCAGCTAATACAGGAGTTGGTGGCCAGGTTGTTGGTTTGGAATTGGCAAAATGACTGTACAAGCCCAATGTTGGGCCACTTGCACTGGTTGCAAGTTTGTTTGTGAGCTAAATTTAAAGTGCTGATTTTAACCTCTAAAGCGCTCTCGTCCACTAGGACCACCTTTCTCCACATGAATATACTTGTTCCCTGAAGTCAGCTTCAGAGGTGCTTCTAATTGCCTTCTCTGAGAGATGCTTGAGGGGTGTTGGAATGGAAACACACCTTTTCTGTGGTAGCCCTATCAAGACAGCTTTTTTCAGCCGGAAGCAATGTATGCATTTTAATGATAATGATAATGGGTTTCCTCCTTTTTCTAGACCTTGATTTGTGACGTGCATTCCATTACAAGTGACAACCACAAATGGTCACAGGTAAAGATTGTAGTGTTTGTTTCAATACCTTTACAGTACTTCAGGTCAACCCTCTCATGATTTTTAGTGCAATGTGATCTTCCACTACCAAAAGAGGGAGCTTGTGTCAGTGGCACAAATAGGGTTGCGCAATGGATATGCAGGCCTAGTTTTCACTGAAGCAGCAAGCCTATCTGAGCTATGCAGATTTAGACCAGTGCTAATCTACTGCTCCTCCACATGTTTTTTTTTTTTTTAATTCCTCCAGGTAGAAAATGAGCATGTTGGGAGAAGGCTAAATCAGAGCTTTCTTCTTAACATTTAGAATTCTGTGTGCAAGAATTTTTTTTGTCTGGAACAGCCCCCACCTACAGTGTCAAGTGGTACAGCCCAGTCACAGATATTTACCGCCTCAGTGAGAGCTAAGCTAGTGCATTGTGAGAGTAGAGCTATTTTACATATTTGTTGATAGTAACATTGGGCAAGATCCAGAAAGTCCTTTATGTGCACAGAAGGCATTTCCATGTTAGAGCAGTGGAGGTTCTCCAGTTTACATTCCCTCAAGCTGCAGCTTCCCCATGCAATATCCCATGTTATTCTACAAGTTTCCTTGGTCCTCAGAAGTACCTGAGGGTGGGAAGCAGCACTTGGTCTTGGAACTGGAAGGAATATGAAGCAGAAAGCAGAATTCATAGATTCATAGTTGTGCAGAATAGTAGGATTAGAAGGGTCCAGGAAAGCCATTGGGTCCAAACCTCTGCTGGTGCAAGATGCCAAGTCATACCATCCCGCTCAGATGACTGTCCAGTTTCACCTTAAATGTCACTAGTGTGGGAGAGCCTCTTTTGACAATGATTACACTGTTGTATTGCTCTGACAGTTAGGAATTTTTTCCAAGTGTCTATCCTGAATCTGGTGTACTACAGTTTAAGTTTGTTGCTCTGTGTCCTACACGTGGGGATGAAGACATCTTTTCCTTCCTCTTTGTGACAGCCTTTCAGATACTTGTAGAGTGCTATCATATCTTCTAAAGATTAAACATCCCCCGCTTTCTCAATCTCTCTTCAGAGGGCTTAGCTTCCAGATCCTGGATCATCTTCATTACCCTTCTCCTGACCCCTTCATAGTTTTACTGCATCTTTTAAAAACCTGGGTGCCCAGAAATGAACACAGTATTCCACGTGAGATCTGACAAGTACTGAGTAAAGGGAACCTAGTACTTCTCTTGTTCTGGAAGTGATGATTCTAATTATGCATCCCAAAATAGTGTTTGCCCTTTTTGCAGCTGTATCTCATTGCTGGTTCATGTTTAGTTTGTCTACAACAACTTCAGTGTCTTTTTCAGTACCGTTGAGTCAAGTATTTCCCATCTTGTATCAATGCATTTAGGTTTTTTTCCCATAGATGGAGAACATGGCATTTGTCCCTGTGGAATTTCATTCTGTTTCTTTCTTCCCAGTGTTCTAGAAGATCTAGGTCAACCCTCTTTTTGTCTTCCAGGGTGTTAGCTATTCCATCCAGTCTTAACCATTGTTTACATTCATATGGTAGTTGGCAAACAATAGTTGATATATGCGCTGCCATTCTTCCATGATGCTCCTGTGTGCAATTTTCAGTTTCAAACAGGTAGAACTATCTGGAAATTACCTTTTAATGAAAAGTATAGATTAGACTTGTTAGTTTTAACAATAGCCATAATAATTATTAAGTGTATATATTTTAAGAGAGAGGAGTCAATTTTGGACAGTTGTTTGTTTGCTGAGTCCTTCTGTCATCCAGCTGGGGTGATAAGAAATATTTATCACCAAAATTATTCAAAATGTATTTATTTAAACTTTTATAGAAACAGAAAAAAAACTTGCAAGAAAAAGCAAGTCAGAAGAAGCCTCCTGGGCCTTCAAGTCTGAACCCCAGCTCCACTCATGTAATCACCAACATGTGGTGGTTCAGTCTTTCCTTGAACACCCTCACTGATGGAGCCACAACCACCTCCCTTGGAAGCCCATACCATACCCTAGGGGTCCTGAACATCAGGAAGTACTTCCTGGCATCCAACCTGAACCCTGGTTCCTTCAGCTTTACCCCATTGGAACACATCCTGCCCTCCACTGCAGGGAAGAATGGCTCATGGCCCTCCTCCACATGACATCTCCTCACATATCTATAAGTTGCTAGAATATTCCCTTGGAGACTTCACTTCTGTGGGATGAAAAGACCCAGTTCCTTCAGTCTCCCCTCATATGTCATCCCTCCCAACCCAGCTACCATTGTTGTGACCCTGCACTGAACCGATTCTAACCTAGTTATGTCTCTCCTATAATGTAGAGCCCAGAACTGAACACAGTACTCCAATTTGGGATGCATCTGTGTCCCCATAATGCCAGTCTCATCTAGCCCCCCAGGTAGAACTCCCCAAACCCTCAATGGGGAGAATACAGAAGCAAAACAATCATTTCACATCTGTGCCTGTTTCCTTACATCAGTTACCAGATCCCCTCCCTTTCTTTTAAGTGGTTCCACCACCTGTCTCCCCTTCCTCTACCTATTTACATGAAGTTAGAAGCACTTTTTGTTGCTCTTAGCATCTTCACAAGTCTCAGCTCATAATTAGCCTTAGCCTTGCACAGAATCCTTCTGCATCATGCCACCTCTTCCTGGGAAATCATTTTGTCCACTTGCCCCCGGTGTCCATTTCCTGTGAATGTCCCTCTTCTAATCCCTCTTACCACCTCTCTTCGCATCCACAGTGGCACCCTCCTACGCCTCCCTGCTTTGCTAATCAGTGGTATCATTAAGACTTAATCCTCCAAGACCTCCCTTTGAGAGACGCCCATTCCTCCTGAACTCCCTTGCCTCCCAGTTCCCTTTTCCAGGAGACTTCCCCCAGCCTGGCCTTCAATTGACGGAGGATGGCCCTCAAGAAGTCCCAACTCCTAGTACTTGACTTACTGCTCATTGCTGTTCCCCTGATCTCAAAGCATAGGATGGAGTGGTCACTCACCTCCAGAGCTCCCCTCATCTGCACATCATCCACCAGATCCTCCCTGTAAGTCAGAACCAAGTCAAGAATATTTTCCCCCTTGTCGCCTCTCGGACTCTCTGGGTGAAAAATCCTCCCTTCATAGCTCTAGAAAGCAGCAGGACCTAGCTGCTGCTGCTGAGTGTGTCTCCCAAATAATATCAGGAAAAGTCTCCCATTATGACTGTGCCCCCCCCTCCAGTCTCCGGTATACCCTTCCAATCTGGCATCATCCAGGGTCTTGAGTTGACCCAGTGGGCAATAACATACCCACACTATCAGATCCTTGGCCACCTCCAGACATGTCAGTCTTACCACAGCGCCTCTACCTGATCCCCTTCGATCCTGCTCCCTATTTCATTGTACCCTATTCCTTCCTTAACATATAGCGCTACATGCTACACTACACCTTCCATCTTTCCCTTCCTGAACTTGCTTAAAAAATGAAGCATACCCCTCTATGTTAACATTCCAGTCCTGCTTTTCATCTCACCATGTTTCTGTAATCCCCATCAGGTCATACCTGCCAGCCTCAGGTGCCTCCTGCATGTTTCCCATGCTCCTAGCATTGGTATACATACATCACAGCATTTTCCCACGAAATTCATTCCTTGTCTCCCCTGATCTCCTTCTTCCTTCCAGCCTCCCTGGCACAGCAGCTACCCTCTGTGCAGTAGTCATGCCAGCCCCTGCAGTCTCTACATCACCCTGCCTCTGAGACCTTTATCCTGTTCCTTCACCAAACTCATCATGATCAGTTTCATGCTTAGTTTCTGAGGGCCCTGATCCCCCTCCATCCTGGGTCAGTTCAAAACTCTCTGGACAAAGCCTGCTAGAGCATTTCCAAAAATTGCTTTCCCCTTCCTGGTGAAGCATGCCACATTCCTCTCCAGAAGTCCCATTGGCAAGGAACCGGTTGCCACGGTCAAGGAACCCAAAGCATTCCCTCTGACACCAGGCCCTCAGCCATTCATTCGTCTCTGCAATCCTCCTCTCCCTGGTCGACCCATGTCCACGGTACCCCTTAGTAAGGAGTCCCCAATGACAATGACCTGATTTCCTCTCACCTGTCTGGAGGAGATTGGGGGCCATACCTTGGTCCCCACATCTCTGAAATGGTCCCCTGCCTGTGTTTGACCTCAAGCCAGGCATTCTAAGCAGGCCGAGCTTCCCAAGCAGGCCAGTTCCTCAGGAGACCCATGCCCCCAGCCTGTTCAAGCAGAAAAAAACTATTTCTCAGCTTCACTTCCACACCAGGAGATGGAGGGCATGGTGCCAGCCTCTGCTTTGTGAGGGTGACATGCCTCCATGACTCCCCAGCTGATTCCCTGGTGGCCCCTTCCCCTCCATCCTGTCTGGAAGGAGCCTGCCTCTGGTTGGCCTGGAGGACCTCCTGGGCAGTGTTCAGGAACTGTTTCCCCTCCCTTATCCCCTGGAGGGTGGCGATAGCATCCTCCAGACCCTTCACCTTTTCCTCAAGGAGAGCTAGGATCTGGGTCTTGCTCGGATGGCAGCTTGCACTTAGTGCAAGTGTATCCCAGCTCCTCCTGGAGGAGGAAGAGACATTCCACAGGAGCTGCAGGCAACCATCCCACTTGCCACTCACTCCATGGCCGTCTCCTGGTCTGGCATAGGCCACCCCTCAGAGAGTTGTGTTTCTACTTGCCCTCTGCATGCTTGTTTTGCCTGCACTTTTCTACCCTTGTGTGGGACTGAGAACCCCACTCCCTCTGTGAGGACAAAAGGAAAGAGAGTCCTCAGGCAACCCTGTCCTTTGCGTGTCGTCCGTTGGCACCCCCAACAGCTGAGTGAGGCTTTATAAGCCTTAGCAGCTGCTGGCCTCACCCCCCTCTGCTTCCCCAGGCCTCTGTAGCCCCACCTCCCTCCCCCTCCAATCCTCCTCCCCCCCCCCCCCATCCTCTACCCAAGCTCTGACCTTGCCTTCGCAAATTCCCTGGCCACTCACTCTGTCCTCCCCCAGTCTCTGCTACTGCCGCCACCAAGATCCAAAAGAATTTTATATACCACTTGTTAGCAAAAAAAGTTCTCAAAAACAGAGAACAACTGTTTCATACTGAATAATCTTGCTCAGCTATCAGTTTGAAGAGTAATTTGTTTTTTTTAAAAATATTTGTAACATGCAGCCAACGTTATGCATATTCATACAGAAATAAGTCTTACTGAGTTTAGAGGGATATGTGCTCCAGTAAATGTCCATAGTATTGCATCCTTAGTATTTAAATTACGTTCATTGTGGAATCTTCTGTGTTTGTATTTTAGGAGGACAAACTGCTTTTAGAAAGTCAACTTATACTGGCTACAGCAGAACCTCTTTGTCTAGATCCATCAATTGCGGTAACCTGCACGACAAACAGACTTCTTTATAACAAGCAGAAAATGAATACACGCCCAATGAAACGGTATTGGAAAGTTATAATGGAACTTGTAAAAATCTGTTTAAGGTGGAATAGATTACCTTAATGGGGAAAATATTTAGATTTCTTTCTGTTTTTTACATTTTATCTTGTTTTTAAAATCTATACAGTGGTGCAGAATTCTAGTTACATTTCTGAAAAAAAAAATTTCTAGTAGTCTGGAAGAAGGAAGGACTCACTGGAGAAGAGTCTAATGCTGGGAACAATAGATGGCAAAAGAAGAAGGGGACGGCAGAGAATGAGGTGGCTAGATGGAGTCACTGAAGCAGTTGGTGTGAACTTGAGTGGACTCTGGGGGATGGTGGAGGACAGGAAGGCCTGGAGGAATGTTTTCCATGGGGTCGCAATGGGTCGGACATGACTTCGCGACTAACAACAAGTAGTCTGGGAAGAATTGAGCACACTTGTGGCAAACAGGAGATCTTTTAAAAATAAAATTGCACAGCTGGCTCTAGAACAGCATTATTGGATAGGTCTTTGGGTGAATGCAAGCCTGTACAAATGGGATAAAGAATGTCAACTTTTTAAAATTTCAATGTCTTATAGGTGCTTCAAGAGATACTCCAGGTCATCTCTGAATCGACAACAGGAAGTGTCTTACTGCACAACTCCACCACAGCTCAGGTTGTTTGATTATTTGCAAAAAAGAAAGGAGAGGAAAGGAGCTCAACAGCACGACCTCAAAATTTCTAAAGCTGGAAATGTATGTATGTTTTAAAAAGCTTAAGCAGGAAATCAGCTAAATAATCTTATTTGCTCTAATGAGTTTTATTCATATCTTTGTTTTCCCCTTTTTTCTTTTTAGTGTGTAGATATGTGGAAACAGCATCCTTGCTATTTGACTGTACCATCTGAAGTAGATGTAAGTATTTAGGTTTCTGCAAGCTGTCAGTATCTGAAAAGTGCTCCCATTTTGATATTTGTGTCGTGCCTGAAGCCCCGACAGAGGCAGCACCTCACGAGGAGGTCTTGTGCTGGGACCCTGTACCCAAATGCCAACCTCACAACCTAGCTTGGGGGTGGCTGAACGGATAGCTGTACCTCCCCCTGACTCCACGCCCATTGAGCAAACGCCCAACGCCCGAGCCCCCGAGGGAAAAGGCGGAAAAGGCACTACGAGTGAGTTCGGCTCAGAAAGAGTTAGAGCAGACTGTCCCTCCCCCTTCTGATGCTGAACTTCCTGAGCACGACACAGGAGAGGTAGGGGGCGTGATAGACTTTTCCCTAGCAACCAGTTGCAGAACTCTGAGGAGGAGGGAACAAAGGCAAGCCTTGTTACGTCAGAGAGAAGAAAGGTGGGGCCAGGAGAGCTAGTCCCAGTGGGCTCGGGAGAGAGAGGCCACTAAAGGATTAGCATCTGCATTGCAAAGACATCAACAGTAGAGCTTATCTATAGAGTTATAAATCTTGTAGATAAGTAGCAATAAAGGACTTTAGTCTTATTGCTGTGAATGTATGGGTTGGTTACGTGTTGAGTAGCACCTTGACAATTTGTCTTTCACATTGGAATGGATGGCAAATCATAAACTATAAGAATATGAGTAACTTAGTTTAAGATAAATTTTAAAGAAAATTGAATTAGAAATCAAATGAATTGTTCTTTTTGGTAAGATCCATTAAAATAATTTAAAATGTAAATTGAAAAGTTTCTTTTTCAAGTTAGCCATTTTGGTCCTCAAGAAAAAACATCCAGTCTGGGCAATCTCAGCCTGATGAAAAGATTTGGCAAAGGCTTTCTCACTATTTTGTGACATTTGGATTGATGCTAATAAATTAATTGCCCAACTATGGATGTTTTACGCATTGTTTTAAATAAGCATTTAGAAAAGAGGATATAAATAAACCATTAGACCAAGGATCCTCAAACTATGGCCTGGGGGCCGATTCGGCCTGCCATGCCCATTTATCTGGCCGCCATGCCCATTTGCACCCGCTACATGCGCACCCGCACCCACACACACGCCCACTGCTCCCTACCTCACCCCACTTGTGGGGAGGCAGTGGTTTGCTCACTAGGAGAAAACGATCTCCAAGCGAGAAAACCGCTGCCTCGTGTGCCTGCCTCACGGTGTGTGCCTACCTCGCCTCACCTCACCGCATGCCCTGCCCCCACCTCAGCGCCCGTGCCCACATGCACAGCCCCCGCCCCCATGCCGGCCTGCGCACACCGCCGGCACCACCTTTCCAACCTGTGCCCAGCACCGGCACCTTTCAACTGGCTCCCTGGTTAAAAAGTTTGAGGACCCCTGCATTAGACTGAAAATTTGTGCCAGAGCTGAATTCATACTTCTCCTGGGAAGTGTCCCAGGGACCATAGGATTATTATTATTATTATTATTATTATTATTATTATTATTATTATTATTATAACATTTCTATGCCGCCCCTTGCCGAAACCTCGGGGCGGCTTACAACATGATAAAATACATTGAAATACAATAGTACATAATAAATTACCATTAAATATAACAATACAAAAAATACATTGATTTACAAATACAAAATTAAAATTATCAGTATGGATGGATTTGTTTGTTTGTTTATTTATTGTATTTATGTCCTTCCTTTTCTTCTTTCAAGGAACTCAAGGCAGCTTATATATTCTATTCCACCTCTCAATTTTATCCTTGCAAAAACAACCATGTGAAGTAGGTTAGGCTTAGAGTCTGTGAGTTGTCCAAAGTCACTCAGTGAGCTCCATGGCTGACTGGGGACTAGAACCCAGATCACTCAAGTCCCAGTTCCACACACTTAACCGCTACACCATACTGGCTCTCAAAAGGATGGCTCAGGAAACCCTTTTTGAGGTCAGAGACAGTGCTCAGACCTTGGAACAGGGAGTCAGATAAGAAAAATTGACCTCAGGGAGGAGGAGGAAGGAGCATTCCGGTGGGCAGGAAGTGGAGGAGTCCATAGTTGCCACCTCCCCTCTTGCTCTGAATTGTCCTTCCTAGATGGGTTGAAAATTCTGCCTTGCAAAAATATAGGAAGTTTGGGAATAGAGAGAAGCAAAGATCACTTCTGCCATTGCTCCTATCATCAGCCTGGCAAGGCATAAGAAGTTTGGTTGCTTCTGAGTTTTGAGACTGATGAGCAATGTGTGCACAGGCTATAGGATTGCACCCTTATGAAATCTTCATTAATGTGTTTATTCTTATTGGCACTCAAATGGTTAATATTTCTTTTAAAGGTAAATTGGTTACCTTTTTATCCAGTTCTGTCATTTTATTGATAATTAAGAATATTGCAACATTCAAAGGAGCTGCTGTTACTTGTTCTGGTTTTAGTTCACTATTCTCTTGATATTTCTGAAGGTGGAAAAATATGCTAAAGTAGAAAAAGCTATCAAGCCTGACGAGTCACAACCAAGTGTCTGGCCAGCTCATGTAAGTAATAGTGGACTGTGAATTAAGCTTATCCATAGTTAAGAGACATCTTGTTCCAGAACATGAGAATATAAAGAATGAACAGTTCTTGAGTATCTTGAATTGTTTCAAATTATTATTCAAGAAAAATTGAGAGATTGATATTGTGAATGAACCAGAATGGAACCAGATTGTTGGCATGTAACATAAACAGGATGGCAGAGCAACTTTTAAACTGAGTTCTGAGGGTAAGCTAACAGGAGCTGGGAAACATCCTGTTCACGTCAAATCATGCTTAGTGGATAAAGGGGAGGAAGTTTCAAATTGCCTACATGTAGGAGGAGAGGAAACTGTCAGCAGATACCTGTTCCTGAACTTCTGTATTCTGAAAGGGAATCTGATGAATTAAGGCAGATAGTAGTGACAAAAGATGAAGTTCATCACCTTATTGACAAACTAAAAGTCATCAAATTACCCTGTCCAGATGGTATCCATCCTAGAGTTCTCAAAGGACCCAAACATGAAATTGCTAACCTTACTGAAATACTGAATTTGTGCTAAAGCAGCCATTGTATCAGATGATTGGGAAATGGCTAATGTAAATTTTTAAAAAGGGATCCAGGAGGGATCTGGGAAGTTACAAGTCAGTGAGTTTAATACCACTTCTCGGTAAACTACTTGAAAGCATTAGTGAAGGAAGAATCAGTAAGCACAGAAACAAGTCCCAAAAGGAAAAAAAAATTGCATGGCTTCTTGAAGGGGAAGTCTTATTGAGAGTGTAAGGAAGCATGTAGAGGGGTGATAAAGTAGACATTTGTTTAGTCAGATTTCCAAAAGGCAAAGTCCTATACCAAAGTCTCCTGAGAAAAGTAAGCAGTATGGAATGAAAGGTGGGGGAGGGTTCTCTTACAGATTACTAACTTGCTAAAGAACAGAAGTCGGAGGGTGGGAATTAATGGCAACTTCTCCCAATGGAGAGAAGTAACCAGTGGAGTCCCACAGGGTTCTGCATTAGAACTAATGTTTTTCAGCCTATTCATAAATGATCTGGAATTAGGAGTAAGTAGCAAAATGGCCAAGCTGATGACACCAAACTTTTTAGGATTGTTAAAACCATAAAGGATAGTGAGGAGCTCCAGAGGGATCTCTGCAAGCTGGGAGAATGGGCATCAAAATGACAGATGCAGTTCAATGTAAGAAAGTGTAAAATAATGCATGTTGGGACAAAAAAATTCTCAATATCAAGTATAAACTGTTGGAATCTGAGCTAGCAGTGACTGAGCCTGCCCTTCTTCTCTGGGACAGCCTTTCATGTACTTGTACAATGCTATCTTATCACCCCTCAGTCTTCTCTTCTTGAGGCTGAACGTGCCCATTTCTCTCAATCTTCCCTCATAGGGTTTTGTCTCCAGTCCCCGAATCAACCTTGTTGCCCTCATCTGAACCCTTTCTAGCATTTCTGCATCTTTTAAAAACTTAATTGTCCAAAACTGGACACAGTACTCAAGGTGAGGTCTGACTAGTGCTGACTAGTGCCACACATGTTTTGGAAGTGATACTTCTGTTATCCAAAACAGTGTTTGAACTTGTTTGCAGCTGCATCACACTGTTGGCTCATATTTAGCTTGTGATCTGCAACAAGCACAGGATCCTTCTCCTTTGCAGTATTGTTGAACCAAGTGTCCCCCATCTTGTAGCAAAGCATTTGGTCTCTTCTGATTTAGCATTTGTCCCTACTGAATTTCATTCCATTGTTCCCTGCCCAGTGTTCTAGCCTGTGGAGATCATCTTATCTCTGTCTTCCGGGGTATTTGTTATTCTTTGTTTCATCTGCATTATCTTTCCTTGTACGTCCTTATCTAAATCATTAATATAAATATTGTAGAGTACCAGTCCTGTGGCACCCCACATGTTACCTAGCATGTATTACAGAGACCTGGGCAGGAGAAGGGGGAGATGTCTACCTCACTCAGCTATGCCCACCCAGGTATCTGATGCAACACCAGCCAAGCCCAGGGGCAAGGGGAGGGGGGTCTCCCTGGTTTATTGAGACTCAGTCTCCCTCATGGGTCTTCCTGTTCCTTTCAGACTAGGCACTGGGCTGTCGAGACAGATTAGGGATTCTGCTGGTGTACTGTGCACCCTCCTGCCCAGCGGACTCCCATTAAGATTGTTTGCCCCCAGATCCAGATGGATTCCTGAGGGTTTTGGGTGATTTTCCGGTTCATAAAGCTGGCACTCCTGTTCATGCCATGGTCAATCTGTGGAATAGAGAAATGACCAGGGCAATCGAGACGATCACTCCTAAGTGTCCTCTCCCACCTAGCAGAGCCCGCTTGGCACCATGGTATACACTTGAGTTGCAGGTGATGAAGCAGGCTGGGAGATGATTAGAGCGCAGGTGGAGGAAATTTTGGGAAGAATCTGACCGAACACACTTACATGCTCATTATCGAGCCTATGCATATAGGTTTCTCAAGAGACAAATAAGATGGTCTGGTACTCCCTTAAAGAAAGAACTTGCCACAATTTGTTGTGATCCACACAATCAAAGCCTTTAGCATAGTCAAACAAGCAGAAGTAGATGTTTTTCTGGAACTCCCTAGCTTTCTCCATGATCCAGTTTGTGTTGGCAATTTGATCTCTAGTTCCTCTCCCTCTTCGAAATCCTGCCTGTACTTCTGGTAGTTCTCGGTCCACATACTGCTGGAGCCTAGCTTGTAGGATTTTGAGCATCACTTTGCTAGCATGTGAAATGAGTGCAATGGTGCGGTAGTTTGAACATTCTTTGGCATTGCCCTTCTTTGGGATGGGAATGTAAACTGACCTTTTCCAATCCTGTAGCCACTGTTGAGTTTTCCAAATTTGCTGGTATATTGAGTGTAGCACTTTTGCAGCATTGTCTTTTAGGATTTTGAATAGCTCGGCTGGAATACTGTCACCTCTTTGCTCGGCTTTGTTGTTGCTCGGACTTCCTAAGGCCCGTTTGACTTAACATTCCAGGATGTCTGGCTCAAGGTCAGTGACCACCCCATCGTGGTTATCAGGAACGTTAAGTTCTTTCTTGTATATTTCTTCTGTGTAACTTTGCCTCCTCTTCTTAATCTCCCCGGCCTCTGTTAGGTCCCTGCCATTGTTGTCCTTTGGCATGCCCATCTTTGCATGAAACGTTCCCTTCATATCTCCAATTTTCTTGAAGAGCTCTCTGGTCCTCCCTATTCTATTGTTTTCTTCTATTTTTTTACACTGTTCTGGAATTCTGCATTCAATTGAGTGTATCTTTCTCCCTTACCTTTTGCTTCCCTTCTTTCCTCAGCTATTTGTAAAGCTTCCTCTGACAGCCATTTTGCTTTCTTGCCTTTCTTTTTCTTTGGGATGGTTTTAGTTGCTACCTCTTGTACAATGTTGTGAACCTCCGACCATAGTTCTTCGGGCACTCTGTCTATCAGATCTAATTCCTTGAATCTATTTGTGACCTCTACTGTGTATTCATCAGGGATACGATTTAGGTCATACCTGAGTGGCCTAATGTTTTTCCCTACTTTCTTCAATTTAAGCCTAAATTTTGCAACAAGAAGCTCATGATCTGAGCCACAGTCAGCTCCTGGTCTTGTTTTTACTGACTATATAGAGCTTCTCCATTTTTGGCTGCAGAGCACCTAGTCAATCTGATTTCTTAGTTGACCATCTGATGATGTCCATGTGTAGAGTCGTCTCTTGGGTTGTTGGAAAGGAGTGTTTGCTATGACCATTGAATTCTTTACCAGCCTGTGCCCTGCTTCATTTGGACTTCAAGGCTAAACTTGTCTGTTATTCCGGTTATCTTTTGGCTTCCTACTTTAACATTCCAATCCCCCATGATGATAAGGACATAATTTTTTGGTGTTAATTCTAGAAGGTGTTATAGGCCTTCATAGAACCGGTCAACTTCAGCCTCATCAGCATCAGATGACATGATTCTGTCCTTTTGGAGATCATATCCCACTACTGCTTTTCCTACTCTTTCTTGACTATGAAGGCGTCTTCATTTATTCCGAGGGATTCTTGCCCACAGTAGTATACCTGATGGTCACCTGAATTCAGTTCACCCATTCCTGTCCATTTTAGTTCACTGATTTCTAAGAGGTCGATGTTCAGTCTTGTCATCTCTTTTGTTTGACCACATCCAGCTTGCCTTGATTCATGGATCTTACATTCCAGGTTCCTATGGAGTATAGATCTTTGCAGCATCGGACTCTCCTTTCACCACCAGATTCATCCACCACTGAGTGTCATTTCAGCTTTGACCGAGTCGTTTCATTCTTTTTGGCACTACTAGTACTAGCCCTCCGCTCTTCCCCAGTAGCACATTGGACACCTTCCAACCTGAGGGGGTCATCTTCCAGCGTCATATCTTTTTGCCTTTTGGTACTGTCCATGGGGTTTTCATGGCAAAGATACTGGAGTGGGTTGCCATTTCCTTCTGCAGTGGATCACCTTTTGTTAGAGCTCTCTGCTATGACCTGTCCATCTTGGGTGGCCCTGCACATCATAGCTCATAGCTTCATTGAGCTACGCAAGCCCCTTCGCCACGACAAGGCAGTGATCCATGAAGGGGATCTTCATATAGAAGATACACATATATACATATATGTATATGTACACATAGATTTGTCTATTTTATAAAACTGATTGTAGGTAATATAACTTTATCATTAAGATAAAAATCACTGACAATATTTTTAGGTTTCAGGTTTAGTTCAGGTTTCTTAGTTCTTAGTTAAATTGTTCATAATAATGCATTTTTTGCATTTTTCATTGAATTCTTTGCCAGGTCTTCTATTTACATAAATAGTTTCACCATTATTGTATACTTGTCTTGCTTGTTTTTCCAATCTTTGGTAGTTAGACAATCTTCTGCTTTTCACTTAGATGCAATCATTACTCTGGCTGCTATCATATATTTAAAGAACTCTGGCATAGATTCTGGAAGAGTCTCTGGTATGATACTCAGTAACATATCCTTAGCATTCATAAGAAAATTAATTTTTCATTTTTTGCATTTCTGCATATATTTGTTTCCAAAATCTTTTTATTTTATCACATGTTCTTCACATGTGGTAAAACGTTCCATCTACTAATTTACATTTCCAACATTTTTCATTATATTATCCATTTTCTGTATATCTTTCGAGGCGATATACCACCGAAAATTTTCTTTTAATGCTTGACACAACGAGAGTGTCTTCTAGTTCTTCTGCACCTGTCACTCTTTTCTAGGCAGTTTCTTCCTCATCTCCCCTCAGAGTTTTCTTCTTTTGCCTCAGCGTGTTGATGCACTTCTTGCTTCTGTACTACTCTTAGCTGTTGCAGTTCCACCGCTCTGTCTAAAAACTCTTCATGTTATATTCCCTGAAGGTAGAAACTTCCTGTTGTAGTGCTCTCACCTTTTCTTCTAACAGGGCTACTAGCTTGCACAGATTGATTGATTTAAAGCTTTTATATCCTGCCCTTCACAATGTCTCAGGGCAGTAATACAATAAAATAAATAAGATACGGCATCCAAATTATGGTAAATAAAACCCAAGCTTAAAACATTATTAACATTTAAAACAATGGGAAAATAAAAAGGTTTTGATCTGGTTCCAAAATGAAAAATGCATCAGTGCCAGATGTACCTCTTTGGGAAGCCTAGTCCATCCCTGGGATGCCACCAAGAGATGCTGCAGGTCACTACCACTGTGGAGTCTTTTTGGTGCTATCTTTCTGATTCTGGCTTGGTAGGCTAGTGTGACAACCAGTGCTTTCTCCTGTCACTAAAGGTTGACAACACAATCCTTCCAGTAAATGTGAGTGCATTGTAAGAAAGAAAACAAAAGGGCTGGAGGAACCATGGGGTCAAGAAGAAGAGAAAAGAAGGAAAAATGTTAATTAAGTACCTTCCCCTTGACACCCCCCCCCCAAACTCTTGTTCGCTCTTCCTGTTCGCTTGCTCAGGTGGCTTGGTCTGGGAGCTTGGCAGCTTGTATCCCAGAGACCCTAGACCAGCTGGGGTAGCTTCCTCTGATCTGCTCAACTAGTAGTCAGGAACCAGTTAAGCATTAGTTCTTGGATTCAGCTGTATGGTGAAATGAGGGAAGAATTCTAACTCTATCAAGTTTTTCTTGTCTAGGTGTTTATATCTGTCCCCAGCCCAACATGGTTCTACTTGAAGCAGGCCCAGAACCTGTTGTGTTAGTTCAGGCAAAACATTACTTGCATAGGAGCTGCTGCTTTATGGTGGAATGCAACTGTGCACCTACTAAGGCATCCTTGTTAGAAGTGGGTTTGGAGTGTGTACTTAGAAAGTAAGAAAATATGGTCCTCTGTCTCTTTCTTGCTAGTTATGGACATAATTGATTCAGCCAATAGAAAGATGAGTATATACAAGGAGGGCATATTCCTAACAGTAATTAAAATAAATGCATAAATAAAGGGAAGCTGTCTCAAACTTGTTCAAAGTACTCATTTATGCCTCAAAAGGTTGTTGTTAAATAAATCAGAGTTTGTTGCTGAGTATGAATGTACTCACTTTAACTGTGGGGATAAAGTCGGCAAGGTAGTGAGACTGAAAAGAACATAACCAAGTATTTTAAAACCTACTGCTGCCAGTAGCAGCTGTATTTGGGTGTTAGAATTATCTTCAGAGCCCTCTTTTACCTTCCCACTCTATGTTTTTCTCTCTGTGCAGTTTTACCTTTCAGATGGGCTCTTTAACAGGTTACCTAGTTTCAATCTGTGTATCAAATTATCCTTTTGGAGATGAGTTACTTATATAAATATTTTTTCTGTTTGACAGGAAATAAAAGATGATTATGTCTTTGAATTTGAAATTGGCAATCACCTTCAAAAAACAAAACTGACAATTTTTCAGACACTGGGAAATCCATTATATTATGGTAAAATACAAATGATTAAAAGTGACGAAGACAATGAAATCCTAGCAACTCCATCACAGTAAGTGTCATTTATCTTAAACTTGGGAGAAAAGCATGCTGCTGATGCTAGTATTTTTAACATATTTCTGCTGATTTATTAAAGATTATTTTTATTACTGTATTTTAGAAATTTGGGAAATGTTTCTATACTGGACATTGGCCTTCAGTTATTACTGTGCAGCCATCATTTAGCAGAACAGGGATGCTTCTTGCAGCAGTTTACTGTATGTGAGGATGTAAAACAGGGCTTCATAAAGGATCAGTGAGAAAGGAGGTTTAGCAGGCTGCTGCCAAGTTCAGACCAGCATAATTCAAGAAATATTTTGTTTGAAAGAAATGCCTTGGAGATCTAAGAGAAGAAGAATGCCACCTGGGTACTATAGCATAAGAAAATAAAAAGACCAGTTCTGGATGAGACCACCCAGTCCAGTATCCCCTTCCAAAAGTTTGCAGACAGCTATCTGTAAAAACTACAAATATGACCTCCAGCTAATTGTCGTTAGCTAACATTCCCATTAGCTGACATTTTGAAATAAACTCCTTCTGAATAGGAAGACTTTTATTTAGCTGTGATAGCTAATGGCTATTTATTTATATTGCATCCTTCCTCCAAGGAGCTCAAGGTGGTGTACATAGTAATTCACTCTCCACCTGGAGAGTTATATTAGACTGAATAGTACCCAGTGAGCCTTCAGGAGGATTGAGTGGAAATTGGGGCTCCTCATTCCTAGTCAGGTGTTCTAAACATTACCCCATGATAGCAGTGTCCAGTTCAACTGATCATATATACATTAAATGTTATTTCTGCCATACACTCATCTTAATTTCTATATTATGCTGCTTACAGTTTCCTTATTGGCTCGAAGTCAGAAGCAGAACGGTAAGCAATTTATCAATATTTACTGGATTTATTGAAGCTGTAATGCATGCTACTTAGATTGCAAATACAACTGCAGTGCCCAAATATCAGAGGATTAAATCTGTTGACCTAGTGTATGCTTTCTAAGTTTATCTCTAGCATTGGTGTTGTGACAGTCTGTTTTTCATTATCCTCCATATTATATTTCTTGCCTGGAAGGACCCTAAGGCAATTTTTATAATCCTCCTTCTCTCCATTTTATTCTCAAAACAACCTCAAGAGTCAGAGAGTGTGTGACTCACCCAAAGTCACCCAGTGACCTTCATAGCCAGAATGTAGATCTTCTGAGTACCAGTCCAACACTAACCACTGTCTTGTCTTATAGTGTGCTGCAGTGGACATCTTAATTGAGGAGCATTGTAGAAATTAATTAAAAAATAAAAGTCCTGCTGTTACAGGATGGAAGGATGCCTTGAAGCCAAACTTCTTTGTATTCTCTTGATTGCTAGAACTTTGGCTACTTCCATTTTGAGAAGAATGTGATTTTATCCCTCTAATAGTTCAAGGTAGCTTGTATTCTGATCCTGAGTTACTGCTCTTTCTTTAAACAACACTTAGTTTTACTATTAGCCATTTGCTATTTTTCAGTTATAAATGTATGTCTGAAGAGATGCTGGTTCACTCAGATCTTTGAATATTAGCTGAGTGTACTGGGTGGTACATCTCTTTCTTCTATATTTGCTCAGATCCATTTAACTTTCTTGGACTGGAAGACTCTCATGCATAACTATCCCAAGCAATTATTCAGGTTCTCAGAAGAAGAAAATGGAGTTGATACTTTTTTTTTCTGACTCTAATGGTTTGCTTTCCAGGCTGCATCCATTTTTCTGTCTCTGCGCACGCGCGCGCGCGCGCACACACACACACACACACACACACCCTCCTTCAGATCTGTAAATAATCCTTTGCACACAGGTTCACTTTTAACTGTGAGCAGACTATAGTCTCTACTTCTGGCAGACAGAGCTCTACTTGTCATATTGTGTTCTTCTTCATGGTCTCTACGCATCACACATAAGGGTGCTGTACCTGCACAGTGCCCTAGTTCAGAAAGATTCTTCTAGCCTAACATTTTTGGCAGGACCTGACCCGCACCCCCGGGTGTATAAACAGGCAGACTCTTGCCATTTTGTCAGTTCTCCTCGATCCGCCATTCGCTGTGCCTCAGTACTCTCTTTGCTCTACTATATTACCTCAGCTTTTTCTCAAATCTTAAACAACTACTTCTCAATTTTCCCTCACATCTTTCTCCGTTTTTACTCTTTGACCTTTTCTTATCATTTTTCCATACTTTCAATCCCCCCTCCCCAACCCCCTGTAATCCTTCTGTCGTCTTCTCTTCAAGACTTACCTATTCTGTCCTAGATTCACTCTTCTTATCTCCTCAGTGGCTCAGCAACCAGCTTTTAGGAAGTGCGCAAAATGCAGATGTGAAAACGCATTGTGAAATCACATCCACCAAATGTGGATGTGAAAAGGGTGACTTCCATTGCCTGCTCTTCCTGGGTGAAGGACACCATGTGGATAAATGTCCATATTATCAGGCCTTCACTAAACAGGCCAGAAAAATCCTTGAAGGGCTGCTGAAGAAAGAACTCTGAGAGAGAGCCCTATGTGCAGAGTCACTGGTGAAGTCTCCGCAGACAAAGGGCCTGAATGTACCTCTGCTTTTCTCAAATCCTCACTCAAACTCCCAACTCAGCCTGCAAAACAATCAGGCTTGACCAACTCTCCAAAAAAGCGAAAGTAGAAAAGGAAGCACACTGAGTTGAAGGGACCCCAGTTGGGTTAAACATTCTAGACAGGATAAGTCTGCAAAAAAGAGAAAGTGCCAATCACACTCTGAGTCTCGACCTGTAGATTCACACCAGGAAGTTAAACTGCTAGCAACCTCAGAACGATGGTATCAATACCGAAGGCATCTCCAACCTGACCGCTGTTTGTGCATTCCATGTCAGACGACTCCAACGAGATTGGAAACTCACCGAACTGATACTATACTACCAATGTCCATTTTGGAGGGAGAAATATTAGACTCTCCTCTGAGATCGCCTACGCTTTCTGAGCTACCATCCAAGCAAGCCACTAACTCACCGGAGCAGTTGTAGCCACGACCACCAACGCCTCAACTTTTTGGGGAACAATTGCACTTTCCCATCCTTCACTGGCTTCATGGAAGTATGGAAGGCTTTCTTATTGGATGCCTCCATACCACCGCTATGACTATGGGAATGATTGGGACTCCCTAGTCCCTTCATTCGAGTACCCTTAGCCACCCTTTCCACCCCGTTCACCACAACAATGCCCTACCAAACATCCATCCACATCAGGTCAAGTGCTGACTACACCCTCGAACCATGCTACCATCATTGCTACTGTCATGCGCGCTGACTCAGAGGAGTCTTTGGCGTGCGCAAGAGAGAGAGAGGCTTCCCATGGGAACCAGAGTTCATTACAGGAAGATGTGTATTTGGTGCCAGTAGTTCAAACACCCCCTGCACTCCCTGGTGGCACTCTCCTAAGGGATGAGGGCACAGAGGGAGGAGGGATTCAGGAGGAACTTGAAAGCGTGGGACAATCAGAGGCCGACCTAGAGGTTGCCAAGGGGACAGTTGCAGCACCTGCAGATAAGGATGGTGAGAACACAGGAGTTAGCCTTGAGGGGCTGTTGTAAGACGTGTGCTCCTGCAGACACAGATGCATGCGCAGATTAGGGCAGTTAGAGATGAGACTGTTGGAACGACAAAGAGAGAGGAGCCTTTCTGACCCGCCTGTCGAGGGACGGCCCAGGTGAGTTAAAAGTATCACATGAACTGATCCCATTCAGAAAGAGAGGACAACTTGATCATCATCACTCGCATCATCATCATCATCATCATCATCATCATCATCCATGTTTGTAATCGTTAGCTCTGTGTAGAATAAAGGCTTTAGTAGCAGTAACTGGGCTCGTTGCTTTCGTTGGGAAGCAGCCTCACAACAGCCGCCTGCATCCTTTTCATCTTCTGCTATGGACTACGCCTCCAATTCAAACTTGCATCTATATGCTGAGGAAGCAACATCAACCTCTATGAAAAACATGGTCTCTGCACAAGGACCCAGTTCACCAGGAGAAAGTCTCTTTCTCTGAGCAGATTATCAGAATGGCCACATCCCTCAGGATCAACGCTCAGCAGAACGCTGAACCGCACGATCTGGTTTGTGATGTGAACAGAGAATGTGGTTGTGGTAACTCTGCCTTTCCTCCCAACACTGCACTGAGTGATGAAGGAGTTGTGGGAGCTTTCAAACCAACCCCACCCTGTCTCAAGTTGGCTGGAGAGTATGTATTGGGTCTGAGAACAAGATGTCCTGTTTCTCTTGCATCATCCGGAACTCAACTCCATTGTTGTGGAGGCTACACAAGGCAGACAGCAACAAGAGCATTCTGTACCTATGGATCAGGAGGAACGCCAAATCAACATGATGACTCACTAGTTATATTCTGCCATGGGACTTAGTATTTATATTTCCAACTATGAAGCAACTATGGCACAGTACCAGGTCTTTTGTGGCGAAAGATGGAGTCTCTTTTCCAGCAAAGGGAACTGGCTGGAGTCTTCATTGCAGAAGCAATGCAGCTATCCAAGCAGCAGATCGCAATGACAAGATGTCACGTTGACTGCGATTTGAGGGAACTCATTGGATCCATAGCTCTGTGTCAACACACATGGTTCAGAGCAGCAAACTTGCTGCAGGAGACTCAGACATGCATTGAAAACATACCATTTGACAGGACCGGACTATTCCATTCAAAAACAGACGAATGAATGGACTTGATTCACAAGGTGAGACTCACGGCTCAGCATATGGGATTTACAGCAAGTCACCAGAGACAATGTAAGTGGCCATGGAACCTTGGTGCTCAATTTCACCCCTCTTTACCTGCAGAACAAACCTATCTCACCAGGTACCAACAATACCCAAACTGTCCTCTGAACAGGTCTCGCCACACTGATGCTACCTGTCTGCAGCAACCCAGGAAAAGTTTGGATGCTGATAAAAGACAGCATTGATAGATAGTGAACCGGTCTCCTGTTTGCTCCACCATTCCCTTTTGGGGATTGACTGAAAGACCATCTCCCCATCTGGTAATTTATCACATCTGATCAGTGGGTTCTACCCATTATAGATCATGAATATAAAATAAAATTTGAGACCCTCCCTCCTCGCAGAACAGTAGAACATCACCTTCCCGATCCTCCAGGAAGAGACTGTGACACTGTTAAAGAAAGGGGCAGTCCAACTAGGGGAGTTGGTCAGGAGACAGAGTACTCAGAGGAGGTGGCGCCCCAACTATGGAATGCACTCCCTAGAGGTCCGCCTGGCGCATTCATTGTATGTTTTTTGGCGCCAAGTCAAGACCTTTTTATTTGGCCAATATTTATCATAGTAATTTTAATTGTGTTAGACTTATTTAATTTATTTAAAATAATGCTCAGTGTGGAATAGTTAACTTATTTTATTGAGGATTGAAATAATGTTGTAAGCCGTCTGGAGACAACAGTAATGGATGGCCTACAATTTTTAAATAAATAAATAAAAACTAGCTGACCAGTCAGAGAGACAGCACAGTTTCTACTCTAGGTACTTTACTGTCCCAAAAATGAGCGGAGGTCACCATCCCATCCTAGACTTACTTGGAGTAAAACCATTTCATAAAAACAAGAAAATTTAGATTGACCACCTGGCAGAACAGTCTACCGTTATTACAGCAAGGGGATTGGTTTGCCACACTGGACTTAAAGGATGCCACCTTCATGTAAGCATCCATTCTGACTATAGGCACTTTATCCGATTTGAGGTCAGTACCAAGAGTTACAAATTCAGGGTGCTTCCATTTGGACTGTCCATGGCACCGAGAGTGTTTATAAAGCGTATGACATTAATTTGTGCACACCTCAGACTCTAACGGATTCACTGGATTATAGGCATCAGGATGATTGGCTGCTGGTCTCTTCCTCGAAAGACACACTCCCCCATTCCATATCCATAACATGTAACCTCTTGGAACAGTTGGACTGTACATCAGTAATGAAAAATCCACACTTTCCCCTTTACAGTTCGTAACCTATATTGGAGCATGGATAGAGGCAATACCAGCTTAAGCATATCTACCCACGAACCATATAGAGGACATCATATGACCGATTTGATGACTCTGACCAATCTGACAACAACCTTTGGGCAGTACAATAGCTACTGGGCTACATGGCTTCCACAGTAAGAGTTGTACAGTACGAGGGACTTCGAATGAGACCACTACAGCTGTGGTTCAACAGGGTACACCATCCAGATTCAGGCCCACCAATCCTACAATTAACAGTTCCTCATCCAATATCACAGACTCTAACATGGTGGACCATGGAAAACAACTAAAACCAAGGAATGCCCTTTCTGCTGTCGGAACTTACAGCCACAGTAACAACAGACATATCCATGACTGGCTGGGGAAAACATTGCTCAACATTATGGATTCCAGGAACATGGCAAGGTTTGGAATGGAACAGACACATCAACTATCTAGAACTAGTGGTGGTATCCAAAGCTCTTCACTCTTTCAAACACCTGATAGCAGGACAACAGGTACAAATCGCCATGGACAATACTATGGCTATATTCTGTATAAACAGGGCAGAACAAGATCAACCCACTTAACCAACTTCGCAATGCACATGTGGAACTGGTGTATTTGTCACCATGTCCACTTACAGGCAGTACATGTGGCAGTATGTAGTAGTGGACTCACTTATTCATTCCTCCCTATGAATGCACAAATAAGAACTGAATGAGATTGTCTGCGACCAATTCTTCTCACAATGGGGCATGCCAACAGTCGATCTGTTTGTGACAGAACAGAACAGAGCAGGCACTCGATACTGCTCCAGAATCAAAATGGAACTACATTAACTCAGTGACACCTTCGTGATACTGTGGAAACGACCTTTTCTATGTTTTCCTGCTGTTTCTGTTAATAACAAAAATGTTAGCAAAAATCAAGAAAGATGAAACATCATGTATCATGATAACACCATGGTGGCCGAGACAGATCTGGTTCCCAACATTACTGGACCTGTCCCAATGGACATACCTACACTTACCACAAAGCCCAGACTTTATCTCCCAGGAATGGGAAAATCTTGCACCCAGACCTTTCAACACTGAAGTTGACTGCTTCGCTGATCCAATGATATCAGGACCATTGACCCTGTGCCCTAAAATTCCATTCATCTTACAAACTTGATTACAAACAAACACGAGGCAATCTTATGCGGCAAAGTGGAAATATTTTTTGCACTACAGAATGGATCATAGTTTTGAAGTGCCCACTGCCATGATCAAAGATGTCTTGTATTTCCTCCATTCCCTACACCAAGTGGACTGAAACCAACCTCCATAAAGGTATTCCTCACACTACGGGGACAAATTGGCAGATTTTCCATTTTTTCCTATCCAGTTGCATGCTTCATGAGAGGTCTTAACAACCTGAACCTTCCAATTCATTCCTTCATACCGACTTGGAGCCTGTCAGTAGAACTTCAGGCTTTTACCGTTACAGCCACTTGAAATGACTGACCTTAGACTTCTTTCCTGGAAGACCTTGTTTTTAGTGACAATTACATCAGCAAGGAGAGCAAGCGAGCTCTGCACACTCAGAGTCGATCGTTGATCCTCCATATTTAAATTTCCACAAGGAAAAAGTCATTCACCTCGATCCCAGGTTCCTACCAAAAGTAGCCACCTCTTTTCACTTGAACCAAGATATTATCCTACCAACTTTCTTTCCAGCACCAACATCCTCGACTGAACGATCCTTTCACACCTTAGGTGTACGCAGGGCACTTGCTTTTTATCAATTCCACACAGAATCATTCTGCAAATCAAAATCATTTTTTGTCAAATACAAGGAGCATGCCAAAGGCGAACCAATTTGACTAGAGTTACTTCCATCTCAACAGCATTCTGGCATACTACTGGACAAGCTGTGTAAAGTTGCTATGTGATTGACACCATCCACATTCATTCGAAATTACTGGCTAGGTGTAAAGGCCAGACAGCACTGTTCCTTCAGATGTGCTGTCCTCTCAGCGGTACTCCAGTGACAACATCTTCCCACCTCCTGAATCAGTAAATTCGCTACTCACCCATCTGTATGATGCACAGAGGCCACAGAGAAGAAGGGCAGGTTACTTACCTGTAACTGTTGTTCTTCGAGTGGTCATCTGTGCATTCACACAACCCAACTGCCGGCTCTGTGTTGGTGGTGGTGGTCGTACATCAGGTTTCTTTCTTACTAAAAACCAGTAAGAGTTTGACAGTGAACAGTCAGTCTCCAGCTGGACTGACAAAATGGTGGGAACCTCCCTATTTATACTAGGGGGAGGGGAGGTTGGGCTCCTGCCAAAAATATTAGTATAGGAGAATCTTCCCAAACTAGGGCACTGCACAGGCGCAGCACCCATACGTGTGAATGCACAGATGACCACTCAAAGAACGACAGTTACAGGTAAGGAACCTGCACTTTCCCTCTTCCCAGATCAGTTGTATGTTTATATCTATTACTTCCATGGATTCCTGTTCCTCTTGCCACTGTCTTACTACTGTAGGCACAAACATTAGGACTTGGTCTTTTACTACGTGACACAATGAGAAATATTTTGTATGTGAACAGTATCCAGTAGGGTCAGTTTGCCTCCATTAGTTCAGATGTACCACGGGAGGGAGCGGTTGTGCAACAGGGCTTTTGTCTTGAAAAAATACCCCTAGAAGTGAATATGCTCATTTTAAAACAAGGACAGGTCAGCAGAGCTTTCTTCTATAGATACCACTGTTCTGCCCTATTCTGGAAACTAGTGTTTTTACTTAGATTTGTTTTTTTTAAAGTGCAAAATCCCTTTGTATGATTGGTGGCCCTGTGCAAGGGCATGATAGAATACTACCCAGAATAACTGACACAAAAAATCTGCTTTTTGCTTGTATGTGCATATGTAACATAGGTACGTACATACACTGTACAAGCTTCAGTATTCATGGATCAGTTGCATGCTTTGTATATCATCCTGTCCATCAGTCCTTTGGTTGCCATCATTCTACCTACATTCCTCCTCTTTTCACTTTTAGGGTTGGTTTTTTTTTTTTTTTTTGCTCAAAATAAAACCCAGGCCGTACTTCTGGAAACAACTCATATACTGAGTTTCAGAATTCAGAAACGTATCAGTTTGAATATATGTACAAATAATGAGTAAAATGTATTCTGTCTAGGTCACTTTTAATCCTCTTTGCATCTTATATATGTTTTACTTCAATCCCATGGAATTAATAGACACACAAAGAAAACAAAATATACATAAATCTGCATTTATTATTCATTAACCCGGTTGATACACTTCTGCTTAGTGCTTCTGTATTCTCTTGAATGACTTACATTTAATACCATGTTACAGAGTAGTCAGCCAGTACCAGGAGCTAATTCAGAACGAAGCTAAATGTCCAGTGAAGATGTTTCGTAATTCAGTTGGATCAGACCATCTTTCTCCTGGGAAGGAAATAGAAGTAAGTTATTACTGAGTATTAAAGGATATCTTTGTACCCAAATAAAATCTTGCAATGGTTCTACAAGATTTCCATCTACAAAAATAGACATTTACTTTCTTTCAGTGACTTAAATATTTGACTTTTGCCCCATCCACATAGTTTCATCGTCTTTGATTGTTATAACTTAGTATATGTACTTCTCAAAATATGTCCCCATTACAAATTAACTGGAAAAATATACATTAGACACTGTAAGTTATCTCAGAAAATGTAAGCTAGAACACATTCTGAATTTAAATTCTGATATACAGCAAGCTAGGAATCCCCAGTGCAGATGACATGCTAAACAAACATGTTTTATTTATGTTTGTAAAACATCATGGCTTATTTAATGATTTTGCTAGCAGGGAGAAACAAAGAAAGAGTGAATTGGCTACATGCACTAGTGCACAGCTCATTTGCAGTCAGTTTTTTGGCCTACCGTTACATGGAAGATATAGTCAGATGTCTCCAGCATCCCCTAGAAAATTGGATTGTAGAGGGATCTTTCATGATGGAATAGTGCTAGATCATCTTGGTGGAACATATTGAGCTACCTGGTCTTCCCCACTAATTCACTCTTCCCAGGCTCAAGGCTCTCTAAACTTGACAAGGAGTATATACCCCAGTGTACATTTGAACCCAGAATAGCCCAAAAAAGAAGACGATGACGACTGTGTGCCCACTTTCCCTTGCTACAACAATTTGCTAAAGCCAAACACGCTCACAAGTTAGATTTTCTGGTTTTGAAACAACTTCCCAAGTTGAGCAAAACTATAACAAAGGTGATAGTGGCAGTAACCTCAGTATCTGCCATGAAGCCAATGGCTGTAGAACTTGGGGCTAATCTCAGTAATGTGGCACAGGAAATGTGTGAAAAAAAATCTGAGACTTCCTGAAGATGAAGGTATGTAATACAAATATCAACTTCCTGACCTTTTTCTCTATATAATAGTTAAGAAATGGTTATTGTTTATACAACAATAAATAATACTGTTCTTCTTCATCGTGGTCTCTGTGCATCACACATATGGGTGCTGCACTTGCACAGTGCCTGTATTCAGGAAGATTCGGCGTTAGTAGTTTTGGTGGGAAGCCCGCCTCCCCACCCCCCGGTATAAATGGGTGGAATTCCCACCCTCTTGCCAGTCTACTTTTGACCACCATTCGCTTTGCCTTGGGTTTCTCTTGTTGTCTCTTTCACTTTCGAGTATGCCTTAATAGCTCTAAAAGACTTTCAAAACTTTTCAATTCTTTTTTTTCTCCTTCAAACCTCCACCGTTCCCCCTACCCCAATGGTCCATCCCCTCACAAAAAAATATTTAAAAAATAAAACCTCCTATCATCCAACTCTGTGAGCTTAAGTGGACTCCGGGGGATGGTGGAGGACAGGAAGGCCTGGAGGAATGTTGTCCATGGGGTCGCGATGGGTTGGACACGACTTCGCGACTAACAACAGATTGTCCAACTCCTCTATTTTCTTCTATTGCCTTCCATCTTTCTCTTCCTTAATTGTGCCAGTGGGTCAGGTTTAGAAAGTGCTCAATGTGGGGCTAAAATGCCTTCCACAGACACCCATTGTTTATATTTACTCTGCCTTGGCAAAGGGCATCAGGTGGACAAATGCTCCCATTGCCAGGCTTTTACAAAGCAGGTACGGAAATATTGGGAGAGCAGATTGAAAAAAGAACTCTGGGAGAGAGCGATGGTGGAGATGAGAGAAGTCTTGGCGGGGAAATCAGCTGGCCTCTCTCTTTCCCAGGGAGACACCCCAAACCAATCGAAGGAACTCCAAAAGCCTCATGATTGAAAACAGCTCCTTTTACATCTGAGGCTCTGAAAAAAAGGAAGGAGTAAAGAAAGTATATCAAGCGCAAAGAGGCTCGTAGGAAAAAATGCTCCGACAATGATGAGGAGGAGGAGAAGAAAAAATGGTGCTCCCACTCAGAACACCATCCCACCGACTTGTGTGAGCTACTGGAGGTGTCAGTACCGAGATCATCCATACTGAGGGAATGCCCTGGGCGCCAGCTGTTGATATGCAGCTCCCCCAGGCAATCTTCACAGGTCCGATCAAGCCCAAAGTCTCTGTCACTCATCGAGATCCCTCATATGCAACTGCCATTCCTGACTTCAGTCTTGGAAGGAGAGAGATGGATTCACCTACCTGGTCTCGAGCATCCCCCGAGTCACCTGTGCGAGCCCCATTGGATTCAGCCATGGGACCCCAGCTTCAGCCTCCACCAACTGCATGTCCTTTTGGCCTCCCAACGGTCAACTTTTTGCCTGCTTCAACCTGACATTCCATACATGCTTTCCAGCTGGAAATTCCTATAACAGAGCCTCACCCCTGCTGGATGATGCCACCCCCTCCATACCGCTGCTACATTCCTGGGTATGGCTGGGGCTACATGTCTCAACACCGATACCCACTGATTCCCAGACCATAGAGGAAGCAAACACATGATGTTCCATGCGCATCCCAACCGCCCGAGACTGACCTTCCTTCCAGACAGGATTCACCAGCATGCTCCATATCTTCCAATGTGTCGTATGACTCCAACTCAGACTCTACTGCTAATACCGAAGAAGCCACTTCCACATCACCAGACAACATGATTTTGAACCAGGGAACTGGATCACCAGGTGAAAGTCTGGGTTGTTTCTCTGAGCAGATTGTGAGAATGGCAACTTCTCTAGGTGTTGACGTTCAACAATTTAGAACCTCAGACAAAGACTCAATCTATGGTGTCATATGTACTGAGAATATGGTTCCAGTAGCCCTACCGTTCATACCAACTCTCCAAGATGCAATGATAGAACCTTGGGAATGGCCCTATCAACCACACCCAACATCATTCTACCTAGAAAGTGCATATAGAATAAGGGAACAGGACATACCATTCCTCCTTCATCATCCTCGGCCAAACTCCATAGTGATTGAGGTGACTTGGGCACCAATTCAGAGAACATTCCACCCTGATGGACTGTGAGGGCCCGCGTATCATCAAATTTATTTTGCCGTAGGACTTTCTTTGGCAGGAGATGGAGTCTCAAGCTACATTTCTCCTAGAGCAACAATGAGAGCTTGCCAGAGGCTTCACCTCTGGGGCACTCCAGCTGTCAAAACAACTAATCACATCAGCTCACCATCACAGGGATTAAGATTTGAGGGCCCTTATTGATGTGGTAGCTGTTTGCAGGCATGTGTTATGAGCGAAGTCAGCTCACAGTTATAAATGATCCACACTTATGCAGGCAATAAAATTAAAGTCCTTTATTGCTACTTATCTACAAGATTTACGATGCTGCAAATAAGCTCTACAGCAATGACCTTTACAAGTCAGTTGCTATCTCCCCAGTGATGTCTCTCAAGGAACCCATGTGGGATTAGCTTTCTCTGTCCCACCTTTCCCCCTAAGGCGGGACAAAGCCTCCTTTTGTTCCAGTCGTTGCCAAGCTACGTCTAAGAGATGCGCGAGACAAATCTATCTCATCTCTTGCGTCTCCTGTATCCTGCTCAGGAGACTCAATGTCGGGGGGGGGGGGGCATCCTGCCCACGCTCTTTAGAGACAGAAAGTGCAGTGTCTTTTCCCTCTGGGCCCTCGTGGTCAGGCTGAGGTGTGGCTGTTTGCCTGAGGGGTAAAGGGTCAGGATGCGGACTGGTTGCCTGTTCAGTTGGTCCCAAGCCAGGTTGTGGAAGGGGTGCTTGGTCCAAGTATAAGTCCTCCTGATCTGATGTCTGATCCTCCCTTCGGGTGCTTGATGCTTCCTCTTGAGGTGTTGCCTCTGCTGAGGCATCAGGCACGACAGCATGTATGTCTTCAGGAAGCCAACCTGCCCCGGGAGACACAGTTCAGAACTGAGAACATGCCCTTAGATGGTGAAGGCCTTTTTCATTCGAGGATGGATGAGTTCTTGGATACGCTTCAGAAAGCCAAGGTTACAGCCAGGCAAATGGGTTTTGGCTCCTACCAACCCAGATTAGGTTTGTTTTTGACAGTCATTTTGCGTGCCTCAGGTTTCCTAGCTTTGCTTTCTCCTTAAAACATACCTAGCTTCTAGAACCTTCTAACTACTTCTCATAACTACCTTCCTGAAGTCCTTAGCCCTATATGTTACCTAAACATTCCTATTTTTTTTCTTATTTTTACCCTTCCCCCCCCCCAACCTCTCCCTTCTATCTTATACTTCAGCTTTCCTTCTCTTCTTTCTTCTTGATGGCTCTCAAAGCAGTATTTCAACAAGATGTTCACTACAATATAAAAATGTTGTTATCAGATGGACATTAGTTATGGCTTTTCTGCCTCAGTGAAGATCACTGGATGGATTCATGTTTACACTGCCAGGCCTTCACCCAGCAGGTCCAAAACAACTGAGTTGGACATATAAAAATGAAAATGTGGAGCTGCAACTAACACAGCCCTTCACCTCCAATCTGAACAGAGAACAACTGTTTAGAATGTACAACAGACTCTAGGATACATGGCTTCCACTGTAGTTGTTGTCCAGTTTGTGAGGTTATGTGTGTGTCCACTTCAGCTGTGGTTCATCCATGCATTCCACCCGCACTTCAGTTCAACACAGAAAACCTTAATGCTCTTCCATCCTGTTTGGGGGCGTATCTTGTGGTGGACCAACAAAAGGAACCTGTTGAATGGAATTGCCTTAGTACTGTTAGAACCATCCCTTATGATAACAGATGCATCCCCCCTTGGCTGGGGAGCACACTACGTTGGCAAGAAAGCACAGGTACTATGGACCAAAACCGGATTGAGGCAACCACATCAACTACCTCAAAATTTAGTGGTCCAGAAAGCTTTGATTTCCTTCCAATGTCTCCTCAGGGGAGACATATCCAAATAGAAAACTACAGAAGTGTTTTACTTAAACAGACAAGGCAGCACTAAATTGACCACACTGTCCCACCTTACACTCCTGCCATGGGACTGGTGTATTCAAAGGGACATTACAGTGATAGCTGTCTGTCTAGCTGTCACCAAGAATACCACAGTGGATACACTGAAAATACCCCATGAGACTCCTAAGTGGAAACTTCACCAAGATGTTCTACACACCATGCTTGGGGAACACCATCCATAGATCTATTTGCAACAGAAGTCAACACAGTATGTGAGACCTTCAGCTCTCAAACCAGAGTCAGGTAGAACTCACTAGGTGATACATTCCTTCTCTGATGGTCCTTTGCTGACAACACCTACCCTTTATTCTCAAGGTAAGTTTGCTAGTTGCCCATATGTGTGATGCGCAGAGATCACAAAGCAGAAAGTAAAGTTGCTTACTTGTAACGGATGCTGTCTGAGTGGTCATCTGTGCATTCACACAACTCACCCACCATCCCTGCCTGGGTGTTGATAACATACTTGATGCTTTGTAACCCTTCTTTCTTGTATGCATCCAGACTGGATGGATACAGGTCAGGCTGTGCCCAGACCCCCTTTTTCCCTTCTTTCTTTTTCCGAGGTCAGAACACCAGTCTCCTTGAGCTTGGGAGCCCTGCAGTTATATACCAGGGGAGGAAGGGGCATGACTCCTGCAAAAGTTAACTTAGCTAGAAACAATTTGCTAACAAGTCCCACGCAAGTACAGAGACCATATGTGTAAATGCATAGATGACCACTTGAAGAACATCAGTTACAGGTAAACAGCCTTATTTTGTGAGCATCTACTTGAATTACTCCACTGAGGAAAGGTAACAGGTGACAGGGAATTTGGAATGTGTTGATCTAGATTGGCACTTCAATTTCCTTAATTGGCTATCAGTATTTTCTGTCAAAACATAGTGACAACACATCATTTTTGGAACACTTTCTTGTCCCCAAGGGCTCTTTTGAAGCAGATACGATTCCCATTCTTTTTATAGTCTTGGAAGTATACCTATGTAACTTACCTTGTTTACATTTATGTGTGTGCGTATGTTTTAGCAGCCTGACAGTGTTTCAGGATACATTCAGTCTTCAGTACTGGGAAAAGGTGTGAAACACCGGCCTCCTCCTATCAAACTACCTTCAAATTCAGGAAGTAGTTCTTCAGGTAAATGCTTTTAAACACTGTTTTGTTTTAATTATAGTTTATAAATTAATTATAAATAAACATGGGGAAAATTTCTCTCCCACAAACCTGATAATTTTTCTTGAATGTGCACATAATTCTGCCTTGCCCACCCTTCTTATGCTGTGTCATAAAGTACTTATGGCTGACTTCACCCACTTCTTTGATGGGCCTCTCCTGGTTAGGGGTAGACATCTCCTAAGTTAAGCAGCTGGAACTGGGAGAGTCTTTCCCCAAAACAGATTGGCAAGTACTCTTCCTTTGGGAAATGAAAGTTCACTGTGGAGATCTGTTATACTTAAAACTGCCATTAGGAGGGAAGAATACTGTATCTATTCTTTCTTTAGACAAATATGGGTGACTTTGGGCCAGTCACAGACACCTAGCTTATCTTACCTGACAGGGTTGTTGTGGGGATAAGAAAAGGATAAGTCTCCTTATGTTTCTTACAAGAGGAAAAAGGCAGGATAAAAATGTTGTGTAAAAACAACAGCTGTACAGAACAAAACTCATTGCTTACCCTTTGCATGAATTACACTGCACACCTATTGCATAACTGAAGTACAGAATAAAAAATGTTTGACGTTGGTTGAAAGAACATAACATTACTTACTTCTGTATTTCAGGCATCATTTTTAGTCCACAGCAGTCAAGTAGCCACCTAAAATCCCCAACTCCTCCTCCTGCTCCTCCCAAGCCTCCCACTGTGTCTCGGAAGCAATCCCTGGACCTGAATCAACTGAGCATGCTTTCTCCAGCTGCCATGTCTCCTGCAAGTTCTTCACAAAGTGAGTCCCGCCCTAAATTCTCCATTAAGTCTTCATAGGCTTCTCATGGTTAACTCCCCAACTGGCTGATTGGAAAATCTAAATGTCTGTTATATCCTAGCTAGTGTATAAAGATGTGCAGCACTTAAGGCAGGGCTCTTGTTAATTGTATGTATTTGTTCACTGTAATTGTAATTGTTTTTCTGTATAATTATACATGTATGCACCCTTCGTGTATACGTTTTAATTCATTTTATGCAACCAACATTGGTCTCTCTTTGACACAGTTAATTAATGTGACCATAGATGTTTCCAAAGGGCAGCTCTTTCCACCAGTGTATCAACAGTAGCTCATTAAGACCAACTTTAATTTGCATATTTTAAGCAGCTAAACATTTTTAAATGTCATTCAGATATGGTGCAGTTGTATCTCTGTGTATGTATATAACATGAACAGTCCCAAGATGGCAGTACAATAAACTATAAATTGATTTTTAAAACACTTACGTACTGTTTTACAAATCATTGCTGATGACTACAGTGTGAGAATAATTTGAGGACAACAATAAAATTAACATTTTCTGAATTGAGTAGCAGTATTAGTATTATAAATCTCTTAAATAAAATAGTATCTGTGGATTTTATCAACCTTTGAAGTACTTTAAAGTACTATCAACCTGTAGTACTGGTGCAACATTAGAAGATTTATATGAAGAGAGAGAGGAAGAGGGAGAGAGAGAAAAGGAATCCATAACAATAGCTTATAAGCTAATACCTTCTCACTTCTTCTGTCCACTGCACAATGTAGTCCTGTGGCTTGAGTGTGGCATAGTCTAAATTGTCTGGATGCTCAAATGGTATCACTTTTCCTGCCTTCTTGTTTTACACAAAGAAAACCTACAAGGAAACTTTGATAAACTTTCCAACAATTTTGATTTATGCAATTTTATTCCCCAACCTATCTGTTCTCCCCAACACACACATCTTATGTTGCTTGTATGAATTGTATGAATATGTTGCACACAGTTACTGATGTAAATAAGGGCTTTGCTCATTTCTGGACATTCACATATCTTTCCTTTCTTTCTGCAGGACATGAAAGCTAAAAAAACACACATACATAAAATGAAAACACCTCAAGAGCTTGCGGGGGGGTTGTTTTCATTCCATTATACAACGTCTTCATGCTAAATTTATGCTTCATGCTAAAAACCTGGTGTTTTACTTTTTGCTACAAGCATTGCTTCTTTCTTCCTTTGTGATTAGATAAAGTTAAGCAAACCAGTTATAGATAACTATTTTTACAGTTTTTTCAGTTTAGCTATAGTCCTTGTTCAGTTTTCCTTTTTGTTTAAATATTCTGGCACTGTACAAGTATTACTTTATGCAAGTTGAATGAGCATTTTGAAGCAAAATGCTTTATTTAAATGAATCACTTAAACTGACAATTTCATGGCAGAGATATGGTATAAGTATGTGATCTGTGTTAGAATGACCTAAAAGAATATATAGAAATGGCTATTTAAATATTCTGGTATAGTTTACATGCCATATATGTGTCAAGAGAGTAGTAGTCAAGCAACACTTGTAATCTGCTTTTTTGTTGTAATTGGAGCAAGCTTAGCTTACTATGAGCTAAGTAAGATTCCATTAATCTTATTTTACAAAAGAAAGAACCTTTTATAACAAACTAGTGCTTTTTATTTTTCTCAATGAGCAGGGTCTGGAACTCCTAAGCCATCTACTCCTACTCCTACTCCAACCAACACCCCTTCATCGACCCCACACCCTCCTGATGTTGAGAGCTCAACTCTGATTACCCAATCTACCACCCCTACTCCCCAAGATTCAGGCTTCACCCCTCAGTCCACCATGTTAACCCCATTTGCTCAGCAGCAGTTGTCTCTGAGCCAGGCTCTGCCTGTAATGACCATTCCTCTTTCCACCATGGTAACATCCATTGCTACAGGAACCTCCTCCAGCCAGGTCATGACAAGCACTGCAGGATTTAACTTCATCAATGTAGTGGGCTCTATGTGGTAAGTTGGTTTTGCTATAGTACTTCATAGTTGATCTTTGCTTTTACATTAAATTTGCCATATAATTATTCAATTCTAGGGTAGATGTTATGTGAAGGGACTGAAAAGGTTTCAGTATTCACATAAAGAGATACCCCTGTATTGTGGGTAAGGGCACATTCACATGTTTTGTGCTCCACATTCTTAAGTACTAGCTGATAAACAGAAATATGTAGACTTTGTGCAAAAGGTAAGAATTTGCTTTTATAATATCAGCCTCAGGCTGGAGACTTTATTTCTCTTGAGAAAATAAAGTAAACTTTTCCATTCTGTTTTTGCTGTCACTGAAATTTTGCTTAAGAATAAGGGTTCTGTGTGGTACTGAGTATATCAAACCAATTCCTCACATGTTGTCTGAAGTGACTTTTAGATGTTCTCCTGTTTACATGGGACAGGTTATCTGAGCAGTGTATGTGCAGCTGTGAGAATTTCTAAAATACATCTTAAGATGCCAACTTAGTGTGTTCTGGTGATGAGTTCATTTCCTACCTTCTTTATATTAACAAATCTGCCTTTAATTTTCTAAAGGTTTATTAAAAATCAGCTGGGACTGAACAATTTAGCATTGACTAATGATGGAATGTCTTTGTTGTGACTTTAATGATGAAACTGCTCCTTCATGTTGTATGCCATATTAATCAAATGATTTTGTCTTTCCTTTTGTACAGTGGAGCACAGACATTGATGAGTGGCTCAAACCCCATGCTGGGATGTAGTACTGGTGCAACAAGCCCTGCAGGTATAAATCTAAGCAGCATTTTACCATCAGGAGGTCTGATACCAAGTGCTCTACCTTCTGGAATGCCACCTACCTCTCAGCCTGGTCAGTATGAAAGTCGACTATAGTTGAAAGGCTGTGGGGTATGGTGGGGAACAGTTTTTTCACTAAGGAAAACTGAACAAGATAATTAATTGGGCAACTACTTCAGTGCATTCAGTGATAAGAATCTAGGAATTAGAGCTGACTGAACTGGCCCTCTCCATGGCTAAACTTCTTAACCCTGATCAAGAGTTTTACAAGTATGCAACTGTTACCATACACAGGATTTGTCTTTATCTACCGTAATCCCCTCTGCTTATTTCATATCTTAATAATTCTAAGTTATCTTCCTTGTTGTTCTACCTGCTGAGGTTAGATGGAAGGCGATCAAGGAGCAGACCTTTCTGTGGTTGCACACAGTTTTTAGAATATTCTTTTTAGGAAAAATTGGCCTTTTACTTTAACCTTTAATATGATGTATTAGAACTTTTAGCTAGGTAATTTTATCTGCCGCTGTGCCATTTTTAATTTTGGCTCTATTTTTATCTGTTTAGTTTTATGTTTTTATTATTTATAGGCTAATAGTCTCAAACTTTTTGATGGGGTAGGTATAAATATATCAAATAAGTGAAATGAGTTTTGTACCTGTTGGGGATGATAGGAGCCATTGCTTTTGGTGAGCACTCCCAAGTCACACTGATCTGAACCTCAGAGAATGAGGAGGAGAAGGTGGGGAGAGGGGCTGGAGGGTGGGGAAATGAGAGAAATGGAGGTGTTTGTCTCAGGGCCATCTTCCCCAAATGCCCAAGTAGGCTGTGAGAATAACCAGGATGTACAGCTGTCCGGCGGGGTTGGGGCAGGCATGGGAGAGCAACTGTCAAAGTCAGATGAGGCTGATATAACCCTTTACCCCATGACGTAGTGTTGGGAGAGGAGAGCTAGCGAACTAGAGGGTTGGCATACAGAGAAAAGGCATGCTTGCTCTCAAATGGGCCCTCCTGAAGGGTTCGGGCTCAGACATACTGTAAAGGAGGGTTTCTGGAAGTCATTGCTTAGATTGGGTTCAGTGAACCCCTCTGTACATTCCCAGGCGTACACACTGTGGTGATTGGGTACAGCTTCCACAAAGGAATGGTCAGTTGCCTTGGCTGTGCAAAAGGAGGGAAACCCTTGCCCATGACAGTACCAGAAGAGAGAAGGAATGGAGTAAAAATTTCAGAGTTGAGGTGCCATATCTCTATACACAGCAAACAGATATATTGCAGAGAATGAGTGCAGAAGCTCTGTACCATTCTTAACCTCAACATCTGAATACTGAATTCATCTTGTACTTAAAATAGCTTTGTTTCTTTTCATTCCTTGTCTAAGCTTAATCTGACTCAAGACAATTGTGAAAAAATCCGTAATAGTTCATGGTCTCTGTGCATCACACATATGAACTCTGGTCATGCATGAAACCTGTCTTTGGGAAGTTTTTAAGCTGAGTATTTTGGTGGGAAACCCATCCCTGTCTTCAGCGTTGCTCTGTTAGATGACTTTCTGCCCATTCCCTCAGTTCTTTCTTGATTTCTATTGTTATCAGGATTGTTAGCAGGAAGTTCATTTTGTCTTTCGTCTCTTTTGCCTTTTCCTGCCTCAACCTTTTGCTTCTTTTTCCTCCTTAAAAAACCTCCCTTCATCATTCTCCTGATTTTTTATCCTTTTTTCCCACTTAAATGTTTATTTATTTATTTATTTATTAAAACATTTTTATGCCGCCCCATTCGCCGAAGCCTCGGGGCAGCTCACATCATCACATCTCTTTTAGACCATGTGGCCGTGAAAGCCCTTTTCAGAAAGTGTGTGAGATGTGGGGGTAAGTTTACAACCACCAATGGGCACTCCCTCTGCCTCTTTTGTTTGGGCAAGGGCCACATTGTAGACTCTCCCCTTCACTGTCAGACCTTTACTGCACAAGCCTGTTGGAATAGGACAGTCTGTTTGAGAGCTGACCTTTGGAGCAAGGTCCAAGATTCCTGGAAAATGTTCAGAACCACTTGTGTATTTCAGTTATATGCAATTTCAGCAGAGATAAGCATTAGACAACAGATTTAGTAAAGAGGCTCTTGCTTGCACCTGGGTCTGTTACAATCCACACTGAGAAGCTTTTTAATAAAAATGCTATAAGGATTATTTACTTTCAAAGAATCAGTTTGTGACTTTCATGAAGGAGATATGTTGGTATCTTGGTCGAATGTTAGCTGGTTAGCTAAAGAGACAAGAGCACACCATGCTTCTCTTCAGACAAGAGAAGAAAGAGAGAGGAGGTGGGCAAAAACGGTCATCTGATCCTTTTGCCTTTCCAGGTGCAGTGGGAGGAGCAAAGGGACAGGCTCATTTTATCTATGGTGTTAACCCTTTTTCTCCCACTCAGGTTGGTGGACAGGACCATGCACTGTTAATGTAGGCTGTGTTACATATATCTAGCAGCATGGAGAATGAACACACACCCACCTTGGAGCCTCCTGCTTGCACCTTCCTTGAGTTGGGCTCTAGCTATCAGGATCTGGGCTGCTCTGATGGCCAAAACAAGAGCAGTCACCACCATATTTGCAAAATCAGCCCCAGGTCCTGCTGGAGCTCTCAGTCTACTGACACGCACCAGCTGGGAGTCCTGGAGGAAGAGCTATATGAGTGAACTCTTCCTTCCAGAATTGGCCTCAGTGATGTTTGCTCTTGTGCCAGCTCCTGGTCATCCTGTTTGTTGCTGTGCCTGCACCTTGCCTGATTGTTCCTGCTCCGGCATCTTGCCGTGTCTCCTGCATCTTGCCATGTCTCCTGCCTTGCCATGTTGCCTCAGCAACACAGGTTCACCTGTTCATCTGCACCTTGCCTGACTGTTCCTACTCCTGGTTCCTGCTGTTTTCTGCCCATCCATGTTGACTTGCTGTTGTGCCTGCCTCTTGCCTTGCCTGTGTATCCTGCCTCACCATGTTGCCTCAGTAATGCAGGGCTTCCTGCAAGCTGTGGTTCAGGACCTGCATCTTGCCTGACACTTGCTGCATCTGGTTCCTGTAATCTCGTGTCTCCTGCCATGCCATGTCTCCCGCCCTGTTATCCTGTCAAGGTATCTGCACCTCTGTTTGTCCTCCTGATTGTCAATCCTTGGCTAGTTCCTTATTACATCCTTGCTCTGCCCTTACGCATTCTTCTTTGTCATGGTCTCCATGCATCACACTTATATGGGTGCTGCACCTGTGCAGTGCCTTTTGCCAGGAAGATTTAACAGCTTTAATGGTTTTGGCAGGAACTCTGCACCCCCCTCCCCTATAGTATAAATGGACAGAGTGCCCACCCTTTCTCCAGTCTGCTTGTGACCACTGTTCACTGTGCCTTGGGCTCTTTTGCTTATCTTGTCTTTTCCTCCATAGTTTTTACTTTGATTATCTTCTTTCACTTTCTTCCTCACCTCATGATCACTTCCATTCCCTAGTTTGTTCACTTCCCTACTGAACCTTTCACAACTTTTCCCCCTCCCCATCCAACCCTTCCCCTCCAAAAAAATAAACCCTTCTATCGTCCTCTTACCTTACCGAGCTATATTCTTCTTTCAGTGGCGCAGCAGGCAGCTTTCTGTAAGTGCACCCAGTGCAGAGCAAAAATGTCTCCTTCTGATCCTCACTCTCTGTCTGGGAGAGGAGCATAGAATAGATAAATGCAGCCATTGCCAATCATTTACAAGGCAGGCTAGGAAAAACCAGGAAAATAGGCTGAAAAAAATACTCTGGGACCAAGCCCTTGTTGCAGTGAGGCAGGTCATGGTGGCTGCCACTTCTTCTGTTCCTGGTTCTGCTAAGAGCGCCTTCTCTCGTCCATCTCAAGGGAATGATGTCTGTACCGATGGAAATTGCTCCACTTGGTCTCCTCCTAAAAAACATAAGGAGAAGAGAAAGCATATCGGATCTGATGGGGCCACGAAACCGAAGCACCCTAAGAAGGATAAGTCTGATAAGATCAAGTGCTGGCACAAAAAACACCCTCAGGTGTCTCGCTCAGATCGTTCCGATCTACCACCTGTCTCGGTACCAACTGAGCCATCCAGCCGCCAGTCAGTTATGCAGGTGACACCACCTCCTTGGATCTTCATCTCCCCTCAGTCCAGCCCTGAGTGCTCTGATCTGGTAGCGCGAGCTTCTATTTTGGATAGAGAGATCCGCGAATTGCCTCCTCCATCGGGTCCTGAACAGCAACCCACGAGGTCATCGACTTCCACTCCAGCCACCCAGTCATCTCCGGAGGGATCTCTGAGGGCCTCTCATCATCTGTCCTCCCTCCTTCTTCCTCAACTTCCTGCTTGTCAGCCTTCTAGATACTGGGTGCCTCTTCCCTATGGGGACTTTGAGCCTGAACATCTGGATTGTCCTTATCTGTGGGATTTCTATCCCGCATACAGATACTACCCACCACCACCAAAACGTGACCACCATCCCACCCCTCAAATCAGTTTTGAGGGATGCTCCATCTACATCCACTGCAGCTCTCACCCAACCCCCAATGTCTCCTGATGGCTCCTCCTCCATGAGTCCCCCATACCAGTCAGATTCAGATTTGGAGAAATCACAACAGATCATGTCTCCTGACACCATTATATCAACTCAGGACCTGGGATTGCCCAGTGACAGCCATGGTTGCTTCTTGGAACTGCTGGCTTGTATGTCCTCCCCCCTCCAGATCGATATACAGCAGCATGTCAGTACCAACCAGGACAACATTTACAATGTTGTCCGGAAGGAGGACTCAGTTCCAATAGCCTTGCCTTTCATTTTGACTCTCTGACAGGCAATGATGGAGTCTTGGCAGTTACCAAATCACCCTCACCCTACCTCCTGGCGCCTGGAGGTGATGTACAAGGTCAGGAAGCAGGATATACCATTCCTATTTAAACATCCACAGCCAAGTTCCATAGTAATCAAATCCGTCCAGGGCCATCAGTCAAGAGGGTACACTATACCATCTAACTGTGAGGGGAGAAAGATTGATATGATGTCTCGCCACGTCTACGCTGCCATGGGACTCAGTCTTCG